AGATACTTACTGATGGACTCTAAGTCCAGGTCGTCATGGAGGTCGACGTTCCTGACGAACCACGGGGCTCCGACGGCTATCCTGCAAAAACGGGATTGAATGATTTGGAATGATTTTAAGTGTATGCGGGCCGCGTGAGCGAACACTACACTTGCATAGGTCATGACGGGGCGTATGCAAGTTTTGTAGAGTGTCACCTTATTTCTAAGGGACATTTTACTTCGCCTACATATCATCGGGTAGAGACGTCCTAGAATGAAGGCGGCACAGTCGCGTACCGTCTTGATGTGGGGCGGAATGTCATCCTATTGTCGAGGGTGACGCCTAAATATTTGACCTTCGGGGCCCACGGTATGGGCTGGTTGAACATCGTGATTGGGCGAACGGCGGGGGTGGAGGTATTGACGCGCCTAGTCGGGAGGGGGATGCTCAGCGTGGTGTTCGGAGGGCGACCCCTTTTGAGAGCATTGCTGTGGTTTCGTGGGGTTGATGTCGATGCGCCACTTCCGGAACCACTGTCCCATGGTGGTAGCTGCGGTCTGAAGTCGTCGAAGAAGCAACGCCTTCTTCCTACACGAGTAGTAGATGGCGGTGTCATCGGCGAAGAGCGCCAGATGGGTCTCCGAAGACCGGGGTATATCATTGATATACAAACTAAATAGTAACGGGGAGAGGGCGGAGCCTTGCGGGACTCCGGCTGTGACGTGACGGGGCCGGGAACGCGTTCCCTAGACTCGATATCGTCGATGAGCAATCATATAACTCGATTGTTATATGATTGCTCATTGAGGTTTCTCATTATGGCGCCAATACATTGTACAATATTTTGCGATATTAAAATGGAGTGGGGTGATAAAACGAACCGAATCGCTATGGTTGCATTACACAAAGTAGGTATGGAGCCAAATGCAATTTTTAAAACTCTCCATAGGCTTGGTATTAGTAAAATGTTTGTGTACCGGGCTATTGATAGGTGCAATGAGACCTCCTCTGTTTGTGACAGAAAAAGATCTGGCCGTCCACGTAGTGTTCGTACGAAAACGGTGGTCAAAGCAGTAAGGGAAAGAATTCGAAGAAATCCTGTCCGAAAGCAAAAGATTTTATCTCGGGAGATGAAGATAGCACCTAGAACCATGTCGCGTATTTTAAAAGATAACTTAAGACTTGCAGCCTATAAGAGACGTACTGGTCATTTCTTAACTGATAATTTAAAAGAGAATAGGGTGGTAAAATCGAAACAACTGCTGAAGCGGTACGCAAAGGGAGGTCATAGAAAAATGTTGTTTACGGATGAGAAAATTTTTACAATAGAGCAACATTTTAACAAACAAAATGACCGTATTTATGCTCAAAGCTCTAAGGAAGCTTCCCAATTAGTCGACAGAGTGCAACGTGGGCACTATCCGATTTCAGTGATGGTTTGGTGTGGTATTAGCTATGAAGGAGTGACTGAGCCATACTTTTGTGAAAAAGGTATCAAAACATCGGCACAAGTGTATCAAGATACCATTCTTGAGAAGGTAGTGAAGCCCCTTAACAACAACATGTTCAATAATTAAGAATGGTCCTTCCAGCAAGACTCGGTGCCAGGTCATAAAGCTCGGTTTACGCAGTCTTGGTTGGAAATGAACGTTTCGGACTTCATCAGAGCTAAAGACTGGCCATCTAGTCCCGATCTTAATCCGCTGGATTATGATTTATGGTCAGTTTTAGAGAGTACGGCTTACTCTAAACGCCATGATAATTTGGAGTCCCTAAAACAATCCGTACGATTGGCTGTGAAAATTTTTCCCATGGAAAGAGTGCGTGCTTCTATTGATAACTGGCCTCAACGTTTAAAGGACTGTATTGCAGCCAATGGAGACCACTTCGAATAAGCTTTTTATACTTTAAATTCAGTCTCAGTATTTATGGCAAGACTAGGTATATAAAAATGAATTGCTGTTCTTTAGTCTCGCCAAAACTCGAGAACGGCTGTACCGAATTGGCTTGGCTTTTAAGATCTTTAGTTTAAAAAAATATAAATTTTCTCACTGACCCATCTGTCATCCAGTGGAGAAAAGTTCAGTTTTTCATAATTAAATATACTGCTTAAAATATAAATGTAAAAGGGAGATAAAAGGCTTTAAATATTGCCTTAAGGCCTGCCGCCTTGTATCGATCAGCTTGTTGGACAACAAAAGTGGCGGATGAAAGGCGATTGCATGCAGCAGAGATGCGAATGTTGCGATGGATGTGTGGAGTAACGAGAATGGATAGAATACGGAATGAATATGTTAGAGGAAGTCTGAAGGTGGCACCTGTGACAGAGAAGCTGAGAAGTGCGCGTTTGGAATGGTACGGACATGTGATGAGACGAAATGACAATGAGGTTGGTAAGAGAGTGTTAACTATGAATGTGGAAGGATATAGAGGAAGAGGTAGACCTAAGAAGAAATTGATGGATTGCGTGAAAGACGATATGGGTAAGAGGGGAGTGAGCGAAGAAATGGTATATGATAGAAGAGTATGGAAAGAGAAAACATGTTGCGCCGACCCCAGGTGACTGGGAGAAGGGCAGGAGAATGATGATGAAAAGGCTTTAAATATTGTTTTCTAAGTATATCACAAAACGCAATTAAGTATTTTATTGTATAATCATTCTAGAATATTCCATATCATTATACACATACATACACATACATACATAAATAATACCTTAATAAACACTTCATTATACCTCGATTACTTTTGTACATTAATTTAAGGAATCGATACAGTCATATTACAATGAGTACATCGACTGGAATGCGAGACTGCTAGGGCTCTGGACTAGTTGATCGTATGTGGAGAAGCTCTGCATGTCGGTAGGTGTACTAATATACAACAGACAGACATATAAATATTTTTTTCTTTATAATAAACGATAAAGAAAAAAATCTTATTACAATTTCATGGAGAGACAAGTGATTACATCTGTTTTATTATCCACAAACTACATAAACTGTATAATATATTATTTTTCACATACCAACTCATTGTTGACATTCACTATGTGTATGTATTACATTTGTTATATTATTCTACAAAACCTGAGCATTGTTAAATTTGCCTAAGTTCTTGTTCGTTTTTTTGGTAAATAATTACAAATAGCACTGTACATAAATGCTATTCGCACTAATAATAATTACGTCGATTTAACAATATGTAATTACATACAAACAACGATACAAAAGTTGCTTGAATACTCGTACCTACTTACTGCACACCGCGTCATCGTGACACAACGCGTTTGCTCTTTGCGGCTATGATGTCCTAGTATAGAAAACGTATTTTCGTGGAACAGTGGCGTAACTCAAAAACTTGCGATTTTATTTATTTTATCAACAAAAATATACATAGGAGATGATGATGATAATGATGATATTATTTGTACAGGTCATTTTTTATACGCTTTTATTAGCTTAAAACGTATGTATGTTTGTAACAGAATCTTTGAACATGAATTTGACCCCCTTCAAAACGTCGGATTAGCTCGAACTTATTAAGAACCGATGACAATTCAATATTAATAATTGAAATTCAACTAAAAAATGAAAAATAAATAATAGTTTAAAAAAACTAACAAAATACGCTTTTATAGAAAATCCAACTAAAAATAGGAAATAAATTTGAATTAAAAATAGTGTAAGAAAAAATTATTTTATTGTAAAAAAAAGCGGGGGGTGCATGGTATAAGTAGTTATAAATATTTTATGAACAGATATGAGTAGAAGGGTTATTTTGATAATATCCTGAAAAGCACCCCACGCTTTTTTACAATAAAATCATTTTTTCTTACACTATTTTTAATTCAAATTTATTAAAAAAAAATTCCATTTTTTAGTTGGATTTTCTTTAAAAGCATATTCTGTTAGTTTTTTAAACTATTATTTATTTGATGACAGCTTTTGTCATTTATGTACATGAATATTTAGAATCCTCCAGTGTCCCTGCAGCCACAGACATGAGTCTCCACTGTGTACGTTTTGTTGTTCAGTCGAAGCTCCTGCTCGCTGTGCAATTGCAAAGTTCCTTACTGTAGTTAAATATTACAATATATTTACTAACAATTTCAATTCTGCATTTGTTAAGCTCATCGATACCAATGATTCAACATCAATTTGTGTTCATTTATCGTCATTACATACATATTATTCATCATTACACACATATTATGTAAAAAAAACACTCAAATACATATATTTAGGTAAAAAATTTGGAAGCGATTTCATTCCGATTAATAAAATAGTGCTTAATTTTTTTAATATATTTACCGTGTTCTCGTTCAGTACTCGTAGATAAAAAGATATATTATGTACACAAATACTTATTTTTATGTTCCGTTATTAATTAACATTAATATACAAGTTAAGAACTACTATTATTACTATATTATTATCTAAAGAAATGTTTCCCTCGTAACGAAATTTCGATTTGTTCCAGAGTTTTTCCTTTCGTTTCGGGCAAGAGCGTCAGAGACACGAGGGCCCCGCAGAGGTTCACCGCGGCGAACGCGAAGAACGTGGAGTGCAGCCCCAGCGCGGCCGACAGGGGCCCGAACGCCGCCAGCTGGGTGAACGACATGAACCACGCGTGCGTCACCACGCAAGCCAACACCTTGGCGCGAACCTGGAAACGGACAGCCCAATGTAAACAACAAATAACTATAACACTAGGTCCTCACACATTCTGTTTGGTTACGTTGAAAAGCAGTAACGCTACTTCGACAAAGCGGTGCGACATGATAATTATCTTATTGTGGCTGCCGCTAATTAGCTATCCAACTGAGGCGACGAAGCAATGCAAAGCCGACACCGGTCACCATCCTCTTCGAACTCGTCAATCACGACAAAGAATTCGACGGGTAAACTAACCTACAAGCACAGCTCACTGAGTATCTTGGCGGATCTTCTCAATGGGTTGCGATACCGATCTGATGTTAGATTGTGCGAAGCACGGCTCTTGCTAGGGTTAGTGTTGGCAAATTTTATCAAGGTGAGCCCGTGAGCTCACCTACCTGAGAGAGACCACCACGGTCCTAGCTGAAATAGCAATTACAAAAACAATAGATTAAATAAATATTTCTTATTTCACGCGGCAACACGTTGGCCAGGTTACAAACGCATAAGCGGCTACCCGAAAAATATGAAAAATACAGTAGGTACGAGTAGATTTACGATGAGGAATCAGAAAGTAGTGAGAACGACATACTCCTTGGTAAGAAATAAAAAATACTGGCAGGCATAGCTCAGATACATATTTGTAATATTATTAAATAAAAATCGTCGATTCTCATTTGTTTTTTTCTGAATGTAGTCATTTGTTTGCTTCGTGTCGGAAAGTGTTCTCGAAAATGGAGAAAAACGAAGTGCGAGCCGTTATTAAATACCTCTGTTTAAAAAGTTAACGACGCAAGATATTCGTGGCGATTTGGCGGCAACATTAGGAGAGTCTGCTCCACTGTATTCCACTGTCGCAAGGTGGGCTTCTCAATTTCGAGTAGGGAGAACGAGCACGGAAGACAAACATCGTTGCGGCCGTCCATCGACTGACTGACGTCAAGAAAGAAGAATGTGTTGCGAGAAATGAAGAAGATGTTGCGAAAGATGAGAAAATTGTATTGAGCGATCGAGAAGTCACCATCCGATACATAATACAAGAAACGGGCATTTCATATGGAAGTATTCAATCCATATTGAAACTATCTTTGAATATGAGAAGAGTCTTCGCAAGGTGGGTGCCGAGAATGTTAACCGATAGTTAGAAACAAAATCGACTTGACATTTCGAAGATATTGTTGGACAAGTTTCAAACTTTTAGTCTCGTTTCGTAACAATGGACGAAACATGGGTCCATCATTTTGATCCCGAGACAAAACAGCAATCTTCGCAGTGGAAACGGCTATCATTACCGACCCCGAAGAAGTTTCGTGTCGTGGCTCGGCTGGCAAGGTTATGGCCTCAATATTTTGGGACTTCTTTGCCACGTACCATCCGGCTATGGAATGAGCCCCCCTCCACGGTGTTTCCCGAGCGCTGTGACATGTCCTTCTTCAAACGAGGCTTGTGGAGAATATTAAGCGGTAGGCAGCGGCTTGGCTCTGCCCCTGGCATTGCTGAAGTCCATGGGCGACGGTAACCACTCACCATCAGGTGGGCCGTATGCTCCTCAGCCAACAAGGGCAACAACAAAAAAAAAAAACAGAAGGGATATTGTTGATTGATTACCTGGAGCGTGAAACCACTATTACAGGCCAATATTATGCAGCTTTAATTTCCAAGTTGAAGAATGTCATCAAAGAGAAAAGGAGAAGGAAACTTCGAAGGGACGTGCTGTTTCATTGCGACAATGCATTCAGCAAACTGGGTTCGCATTGGTTGACCCTTATTTACCAGATCTGGCGCCTAGCGATTTTTATCTGTTCCCCAAATTGAAAGAATACTTAAGGGGAAACAGATACGAAGACGAGGTCATGGATGCCGTGGAGAGCTTTTTGCAGGACCAAGATAACACTTTTTTTTTAAAGGGATTGTAGCCATGGAAAAGCGTCGGACTCGGTGTATAGAGAAACTCGGAGACTATGTAGAAAAATAAATTATTAAGTTATCAATAGTCATTATATTCTATCTCATTCTCACTACTTTTTGTTCGTCCTAGTAGACTTATGTATCTTATGACTGCATATGTGTCTTCCGCATTACATGATAATGTGAAAAACAATTACCGACCTGGAAATGAAACATTTCAGACATAATGATATAGGGCACAGGCGAGACCCCGGACGCAAGCGACAGCACCATGGCGGCCGCGGGCAGCCACGCCGGAGCCGCCCAGCCGTGCTGCTGGGCGAGCAGGGTGGTCGCCAGGCAGACCAGCGAGCCCGCCGTTACCAAAAACGCCGCTGATAATATTTGCTGGAAATGCAAATTAATCTCAATATTCTGTACTACGTTATAAGTCGTATAGTTCTGTATCGTTCGCCTGTCTATTAGTGATAAAGACAGTCCTCATCCCTCTGTGTCTCAACTTTTTTATTTTATTGCTCTTGCAAGCAGACGAGCATACGGCTCACCTGATGGTGAGTGGTTACCGTCGGCCATGGACTTCAGCAATACCAGGGGCAGAACCAAGCCACTGCCTACTGCTAACTTAATGCATATATGGTTTTCATAACCTTAGTACCAGATGGAACGTGAAAGTGGTAGGTCCTCACATACGAATGGCTTTCGGAAGCATTGGTATGTGTGTATTCAAGCTCGGACATGTTCGTACGCGAGCCGAGCCGTTTTGTATCCCGGTTACCGCTGTAGTGCTGACATACGGGTGGTGTGAGGGCGCTCTTAATCTGCAGGGTCGGTGGCCTTACCTTCCTACCCAGCCTTTCGACGTAGAAGAGTGACAACAGGGAGGCGAGCAGCATCACAGCAGGGAAGCTTAACGCCTGCAGCTCCGGACTGACAGTGACCCCGAACGATGATAATATGGCGGACGCGAACGTCATAATGGCATAGCTACCATTGCACGAAAATATTGACATTATCGTCAGACTTAGAAGAAAACCGTTGCGCCAGGACTTTTGCTTAACTGAAATTAAAAAAATATTGTATTCAGAGATGTCGTAGGCTTCCGCGGCGAAGAAATAACACCGTGTAATAAAAATGAAACCAGCAATAATTTTAGTTTTCGTAATTACTAGTCCTGAGTCCGCATGGGTAGATACCACCCTGCCTATTTCTGCTGTGAAGCAGTAATGCCTTTCAATTTAAAGGGTGGGGCAGCCGTTGTAACTATACTGAGACCTTAGAAGTTATATCTCAAGGTGGGTGGCGCATTTACGCTATAGATGTCTATGGGCTTCTGTAACCACGCAACAGTAGGTGAGCCGTGAAGATGTTCACCCACCTAAGCAAGAAAAAAAGTAACTAATTGATTTATAATGGCAATAATCCCTTTAAAAATACTGAGTTCAATAGATATAGAAATATTCCGAGATCCAAAACTAGACAGTGAGCAACGGAGGCTTGGGGCCACTCTCCGACAACGAAGATCCTACTAAAGACCTATTAAAGATCTCAGTTATCTATATTGATCTGAATGTAACTTACAGATGCTCACAAATGAGATATTAGGCAGTGACTTGAATTGTGAGTATTCATTTTGCATCATCTCTACTTCACTCATTACTATTTTGTCCGTCACCTCCAGGCCTCTGAGGAGGGCTACAGTAGCTTCCGCTTTCTGAAACACATAAAACACGAATTAAGCCAGAGTCACGTCTGTACAATCGTGTAGCTCATCATAAAACCGCGTGAAGTGTGCACTAGGTATTAATATTCTGTATTCTTCTTTTCAGTATCTTTATATAAAGTAATTTTAGTCTTAGTCTTTTTATAAAGTAATTTTTATTAGTCAATAAATAAGTATGTACCCGTATTTGTATGTAGCTTATAAAAAGTACTCACGGCAATATTTCCCTTTTTGACTAGGAAGGCAGGGGATTCGGGAGCTTTCAGCATCAACAAGACAGTCGCTATAGGCACTGTGATAGCGATCCACAAAACCGTGTGGTATTCTAAGCGCGATCCCAACGCGAACATGGACAATATGCCCACGTTTTGCATTAATATCAGCAACGTTCCAAGGACCCCTCTGATGTTGTCTTGGCTTATTTCTTTAACGTAGACCGGAATTATATTGAAACATCCCCCTGAAGGTATTCCGCAGAGAACGCGCGCTATTAAGAGGCCGGAGAAGCTTGATGTGCACAGCTTCACGAGCCAACTTAGCTGAAAGACACCACGTAATATGTCAATTTGAGCTCCAACAATACTGTTCTATTTCCATATGTTGTCGTCACTCGTTCTCACATCGACATATTTTTATTCTGTACTTTAAAAAGGTAATAGATAAAATTACTTAGATAAAATTATAGGGCTCTCCATAAACCTTAGATAATTGAGTATCGAACTCCGATAAAGTTAAACAAACTTATATACAGTAATAAGGAATAAGAAAAGTTTGTTTGCTAACTGTAAGACAAACATTGGAAGTCAAGATCCACTAGATATTGCTGAACGGTTGATTGCTTCGGGACAGAAGCAGGCAAGATGGTGGTACCCACTGGTGCGATATTTTTCTAATATCACAAACTAAAATACCCATATGAAATCTAGTGATAGATTTTCTCTCAGAATAAATTGTTTTGTCCTAATTTTAGAATTAATTTTGGGCTCTAGAAGCAAATTAGTAATTAATAATTTTATAATTAATCCAACTGTAAATTAAAATGCCAATTCTGATTTTTCGCAACTTTATTAAAGTTTATTGTAATGTCTATAATAAAAATTACAGTAGAACATATTTTGAATGAGATTGAGCTAACTAATTTGCATTTAGTCATTGAAATCGAACAATGAAAGTTTTTTGTTTGTAAATTTTACAGGTATGGCAATTTTCAGGATTCCAACGTAATATATTATGATAATAAACTTTGAAGTGAACAGATAAATTATTCTGTCATGAAATAAATTTTATTGGACACAGGGTATTTAATTAATTAGGAGAGATCTCGTGACACACTCACAACACAGTCACATGTGTTAAATTTTCTACCAGGGCAACATAAACAGATAGAACTTACCGCTTGCAACGCAGCGATGGTCATTATACAGACACGCCTCCCGTAGGTATCTGCTATGTACGCGAACATAGCAACACCCAGCATAGCCGATAAACACAACATACTCGCAACCAGAGATATGTCATTATCGGATAGCGCAGCACCAGTGGGCGACGACTCAGATTGCAACGTTTTGGTCATTGGTGAAATCCAGCCCGCCTGAAGTCCATACGTGAGCAGCGTCGTGTTCGCTACAAAAACAACTTTTTCGTTGGTTATGCGTTCCTGGTTGTTGTACGATTTACTTTGTTTATTTAAATTGACATTTATTTACCTAGGAGGGCTACCATCCATTGCACATATGTGTGACCGCGTTCGGGTTTTAGCGACATATTAAATATTTGGCGGCAAAGTTAGTTATTCGAGTTGAAAATAAACGTCTTGTAATGTGTCATTATTAGTCTATAGGAAATTAAGAAAATTATTTGTAGCGACGTTCCTTTTATAACGGTAACTAGCACAATCTTATGTAGTACGATCCTATACGATCGTTTTGTTTCTTGATTTTGATGTAGGGTTGACAAATACAATTTTCCTAATATTTAAATTAATAGAGTTAGTTGTAACGTTCAAGCTTCACCGGTCATCGTTCTCGTCGAACCCGTCGTTTGCGACGAAGGACGCGACGAGCTTAGGTAGGAGAAAAAAATCAAGCTTGATGAATTTAACATTACATGTATACCTACTACCTACTGCTCCTTTGTAGTTTAAAATCAAATGAGCCTATTTTGAGGTGTCTCTCTCAGTCCATTAGCACAGAAATCCTCCGTGACCTGATAGGTAAGAAGCCTGCTTTTCAAGCCTGCTGATTTTCATAGACATGACAAATCATTCGAATAAATTGATTATATTGCATAGAGACTGCCATATTCTTTAAATCGGAACGCATGTTTGCTTTGCTGCTCAAATAGGCAAGATAGTGGGAGCCATCCGTGCGTACAACTCGACCAAGCTAAGTTTGCGCCTCGCTGGAATGCGGCGCCCCGCCCGTTTCCCTGCTCACCTTCCCGCGATCGCCCTGTCGCGTCAGTACGGTTAGCATCTTTGTCGCCGACACGTGTCATACTATCACGATTTTTCATCCCCCTATCCGTTGAATTAAAAAATTTTGAATTGTTCTTGTTAGGTTTTTTGTTGAAGTTTTGTTATTTACTGGACTGTTTTTTTGTTAAGTTTTTGTTGAACTGTTGTTACTGAACGGTTAACGTTCATTTCAACAAAAACGAAAGGAAATGTGATACACAGTGAAGGGAGAAACATAATACTGAAAGTATTAAAGTGTGTCGAAGAAGAAAAACTAATAATGACCTATCGTATCGTAACCTGCATATCTAAGAGGACGCTAATGAATATAAAAAATAAGCCAAACAATTACTATATCACAGCCAGCTGCTTTACCAGCATCACGTTCTTCGCCACGTTCAAGTACTAATGCCCAATTACGTTCTATAAAAAATATACTTGACAGTTTTGACAAAAACCCGATATTCTAGTGCGCCTATGTATAATATAGGTATATTGTAAAAACAATAAATGCAAAGGGAAATTTAACAAAGATTTGTTTACATTTTTAAAGTCATAGTGAATTCTTTTTCAGACCGCACCTAAGCGGCAGTGTGACGTAATCGATGCGAGGTGCAAACTTAGCTTGGTCGAGTCGTACATGACGTCCTGCCACCAGTATATTATGTCAAGAACTCTAGGTAAACAGATAATAAAAATGACAATAATTCACATAGCCACTTCGAAGAGCTCTGACAAAGTCAGGGGAAAACGGGAGTAAAAAAAAAAGTATATTTTGTCGGCTGGCGATCGCAGTGCGCTAGTATAATGCTAAGAGAATGCTACTGCCAGGTCTCCGTTGAATCCTAAAGTCGTCTTTAGGACACGGACGGTAAGAGATAGGGTAGCGTTGTTGTATGCCGGCACACGGCTCCAATATTTGTTAAGCGTTGTTGTAATAGCAATGCTAACAACGCGTATAACATCTAAATTAGTTATGGGTATTAAAACGCACAGACATCCCTACAATGTTCCGAGAATAGTTCTGCGATATCGAGTATAGCACAATCATCTAAAATAACATTTGTTCGATGGTTTCGTTCACCTCGTCGTGCAAACATAGCTTCCCGGTGCAACGCAACCGCGCGCTTCTCATATCTCAATATAAATAAATATTTCTATTACTAACTGAAGTAAATGTTATTTAGCTGAACAATTTTACCAGCAAAAAAGGAAGAGTAAAATGTTACTGAAAAATCTTAACTTGAAAGGCGTGTTGGGTTTAGTCCTTCTCTTCTACCCGGACAATGAATGATAATATGAAATAATTCTATATCATACTATTTATATCTGCCTATTTCTATTTCGAGTCAGTCCTGTGTTTCAGCTTGAAGGGCGGGACGTGGCGGGGTCAGGGGAGGATATGAGTCGATATAATTACGTATGTGTTCAGTTTAAGGTTGCTCTGAAAAACTATTATAACGGTGTCATATCGCGTTTTTCCCACCGTTCATCTACATTGCCTGGAGCAGCTGCGTTCACCTACGGCCTTGGAAAGACTTCCCGTTTAGGCTGTTTCCTGAGCTCTATAATATGTTCTTCCTTTAACGTGGTTTATGGAGAGTCCTCAGAGGCTTAGCTGTGCCCCTGACATTGCTAGCTTCCATGAGCGACAGTGATCACTGATCAGTCAGTGTATGCTCAATTTCTTTTAAGGAAGAAACTAAAAGAAGACTGACCTCACGTTTTACGGTGAGTGGGCAGTGTTCGCGTTGTGACGTCACAGAGGTGCGGTGTCCGAATGGGCCACGCACTCACTTCAAATGCTCATATTTTGGGCTCATAGACACACCTTATGTGTGAAGCAAAGGGTGTATTGTAAAGTATCACAAATTATATCTCTATTTTCGCTTTAGATACTTTCAGATATTTTTTTGGTTCTTTCGTCGTTCAATGGACTAATCCGTAGTGCCTCGTGTCCGTGTGTACAAATAATTGTCATCGCGAAAGCAGTAGGAGACTACGAGTAACTAATTGCATTGGCTCACCTGACAACATAAACGGACTCAGATATTTTTTCTTAATTTAGCTTTTTACTATTTCAAGTCTGAAATATAAATTCTACTACCAGGCAATTACTAACTAGCACTTTAACAACATGATTTTTTTTTATTTTTTTTTACGTAAAAAAATATTTAAAAGGATTTGTTTCGCAAACGGTACGAACTATGACGTAGTAGTAGAACGTAGATTTAAGTGTCTATTTTGATAAGAGAGAAGAGGTCGCGTTCATACGAACTGTTTATTAACATTGTTATTGACTCAATGCTCGAAGACTCCACACGTGATAGTCAACCTGTTATAAATAATAATTGTTTGCAAAGTAAATACCGTGCCGTGAAAATGTAAATAAGAAACCTATGAGACGAAGTTTCAAGGAGATGCTTAGTAAGGCTTTTCCAAGTACAGAATAAGGGAGGTCACCTCATCGTAAATAGTCTCACCACACAGTCGGGGAGAGAAGAAAGATGTGGCTCTCTTTCTGCGAACACAATGCAGCTACTGACTTTTTCTTGAGTAGTGACTTTATTATTAAATTTAAGGCTTTAAAAAGAAAGAGTGAGAGAAAGAGAGATAGCTCGCGGTTTCCTCGGGATACAGGGGTTACTGCCACCACACACCTTCATGCATGAGGTCAGTCTCAAACTAAATACAACTTACACAACATAACGGCTGTCCATTAATTCAAATCTGAACGCATGCTGCTTCGTGGCAGAAATAAGCAGGGTGGTGGTAGCCAGACGTTCACATTACGCCGAGCAATGAATTAATTACATAGTTTAAATTTATCCTAAAATACAATTACAATTAGCCAAAATAAATAATATGTACAACTAAATTAGTTGAAATCAAAGACTCATTTATTACAGAATTATTTAAGAAATTTCGGGGGTTATACACAATTTCTAAATAATGGGGTTATACTTAATGTCTAAAAAATAAATGGGAGAATTGCCAATATTTATGAAAAGTTTTTAAGTATCCAACAGCTGTTCGTCTAACCAGGCGCGCATGCCCGACGAGGAGGTGCGTGTTATTATTGTGGGACTTTCATTCCGCTCGCAGTCCCTCGACGTCCATCCCGACGTGATGCCCCAAAGTCCGTCATTTGCAATAACTGGCGCGCCGACGTCCGGCTGGACAAACATTGGTAAACGATATAATCATTTCAACTAGTACTATCTGAACAAAGAATAGTATATTATTAAACGGACTTGAAAATATGAGCATAATATTAAAACATCAACTAATAATGTAACAATGTATTACCGTCCAGCTTCGAAGGTACTTGCAATTTTCGAGTAAAGTCTATCGATAAATTTTATCGTCAATAAAAAATTTGCATTAAAAATCAATTTAAAAATTATTATTTTATATCATGATCATAAAGTTTGCCCAAAACACGTCATTCCGGATCCTCCTGATCCATTAACGGTGCTTTTAGGCACCACAAGAACCGGCCACCGTCCTCGTCGAACCCGTCTCTTGCGACAAAGGGCTCAATGAGCGAATTAACCCATAGACACAGCCCACTGAGTTTCTCGCTGGATCTTCTCAGTGGGTCGCGTTTCCGATCCGGTGGTAGATTCTGCGAAGCACTCCTCTTGCTAGGGCCAGTGTTAGCAACACTCCGGTTTGAGCCCCGTGAGCTCACCTACATGTTAGGGCGAAGCTGAAATAGCCTCTCAAGGCTATCAGCATAGGCAGGAAAAAAAAGAAGTTAAATTTGATAACTTTTACATTATCAAAAACAGTTAACAGTGTGGTCTCACGCTGCAAGCGCTGTGGTGTCCGCCAACCGGCTTCAGACAAAAGCTGTCTCCTCCGAGCGTTTCGTTCTGCTCCTCCATGACTTCCTCGCAGTCCTCGCGGGGTACGGTGCTCTGCGTGGACACCCTCATGCTGCTCGGCCTTGTGCGCTCGCTCGCCGACGGAGATATCGTTCGACCTTTGATCTTGAAAATTGCGGAATTAAATTAATTGAGAATACTCTCAGTTTGCGTATGTCTTATTTGACCCAGGAAGATAACAAATATGTACGTAACTATTGACTTCTAACGGGTTTTGTGTGCGCTTCAAGAAGATCGCCGCACAGAAACAAAATCCAACCACAAATGTACAATTATTATGGACTTTTTTCCCTACCTGTTCGCTGGTAACCTAAGAGGCTATTCCGGCTACGTGCGGACGAATAGATGAGCTCACGGGCTTAACCTGAGAGAATTTGCTAACACTAGCCCTAACACGAGCAGTGCTTCGCAGAATCTAGCACCGGATCGGAATCGCGACCCACTAAGAAGATCCAGCGAGAAACTCAGTGGGCTGTGTCTGTGGGTTAATATTACGTACGCGTGCTCTTACACATTACGTCAGTTATTGGCTGGCAGACAGCGCGCTTCCACCGTCCGCTCGAGACTGTCGTATTTTATTATTTATTTTTTATTTTTAATATAAATTGTAAATTTATTTTTTTACAAAGATCAGTAATATTTATTTTAAAAAAAATTGATAAGCTCGCTCGGAGCCGGCATGAAGGGACATGTCCAGACGTCCAGCGAGTATGTTCTGATGAAATGTAAATTTAAAATACTCACTATGATCCTAGGCCAATAGGTCGTTAGGAAGTTGGCATCCAAGAGTTTAGCTGTGACCTTCGATAGCCTGACCGGCCTGATGGCTGGAGAATAATTAACGGGGACTGCTATTTTCAGCATTGCCAGGTCGAAGCTTGGTTTACCAAAAATGTAAGACGGGTGAATCACCAACCCCCTTATTGGTATTAAAACACCGCCTCTTTTGCAATCACTTGAGCCTAATCTCACCTTAAATAGTTTTATTGATTCCCTCACACTGAAACATACATATTATAAAATTGCACAGGTTAAATTATTTTATTATGTTTATAGAATGGTCGTACTTATAAAACTCTCCAGCTGAACTCAGGATCCATCTGTTGTTAAGAAGAGCACCTGTAGCGTAATGTGCTCCCTTTCTTTGTATAGAGGCGGAAAAAGGATATCTGCTTAAAGTACTTTCGTCTTTAACTCGCTTCTCGGTACTTATGTGATCCTGGTAACCGCACTGAGGTTTATTCGTAACTGGAAAAAGTTAATTAATTTTTTATTGTTTTAATATTAAGCTGATTTGTAAATAATTTTATTTTAGTATCTATAAAATTCATTAAAACATAATATGTAACATCTCTAGGTGGAAGATGTATCTTTGGTAGCAGCAATCAGCGACGTCTCCAGAACTGAACGTAATCTATACTAATATATAAATCTACAGTCGTTTTTACGGATCATCATCATCATCATCATCATCAACAGCCCACAGTCGTCCACTGCTGGACATAGGCCTCTCCCAATCTACACCACTGAGCCCGGTCTGCGGCTCTCCTCATCCACTTCTTGCCGGCCACCGTGCGGAGGTCATCGCACCATCCAGCCAGGGGGCTAGATGGTGCGATGCTTTTTACGGATGTTCCGTAATAACTACTGAACCATCCATCCGATTGACTTGAAACTTGGTATCCATGTAGAAAATACATGTTTAATAATAAATGTAATAAGTAAGCGGTTGTAAATGAGCTTCTAGAAAATACATGTACTTAATGGATAGGATGAGTGTTGGACTCCCTAATACGAACTTGAGGGCGAGTACCAGTTTGAGTCAAACTGGTATCTTTATGAATAGGTACTCACTCTCAGAAGAAGTTTCAGCATTAAAGCACTGGTGCTGCTCTTGCCTAGTTCTCTTGGGTTTTTCTTTTAAGCTGAGATTAAATACTTCATTATATTCTTGGTTTTCTGAGCTATGTTCCTCTCGTGAGTCTGAATCTGAAGATGCCGTTACAATAATAAAGGTGGTCAGTATCAAGTTAAATAGTTTTCTCAATTGAGAGGGCATGCTGAACGTGAGGAGATAAGCAAGAGCATTAAATGAATACATTCATTGTTCCTATTGCAATGGTAGAAGTTAGTAAAAATAATAAAAAACTTGTTATCGTGGTAAATTCTGGCTACGCTGTATACGATAAGCTTTCATTCTTTTTGTTACAAAACACATCGACGCCATTTTGGAATTTCAATATGCGAGTTGAAAAGTTCAAATCAGTTGTTGCTTGGAACAACCGAACAACAAGAACCGTTCGTTGAAACATCAAATAAATTAACGTCGCAATGTTCAAATTAACAATTTTGTAAAGTAAATGATATTGGTCCCGAGGGTATTACTCGCCCAGGTTCAAGCCCATCAGCGGCTGTAGAGCTCTTCGTTATGATGATAAACCACTACTACTAATACAAATTTTGCAAAAGGTGGCCATTTTAATTAATTTTTGTTCACGTACCAAACGTACAAGTATGAGTTGTTGGACAAACATAATTCACAAACTCAACAACAATTCGCCGAGCAATTGGGAAAAAGAGAAAATTGACCTGATAATAGCAGTAAAAACTTTAAAAACATAAATTACAAGAGATGGAGCTCTCTCTGAATAAACTATTTATCATTTTTCCGAACTCAAGATTTCAAACCTGTATTTCAAAACGGTTATTTGTAATAAAAAAGGGAATATCATTTGGAGGTTTCAAATATGAATAGGTTAAACAGAAACCGTCGATCAAATAATTAATTCATCATAAAAATGGAATAAATGTTTGTAATTCAGCAATGTTGTTGTTACATCAGCGTGTTTTGAATTGTGCCCTACTGTTGTATTAGAACAATAGAGTCAATAGTGTTTGTTAATAAAACAGTTCTAAAAGTTGAATTTTAATTCTGTTTCGCAATACTTCGCTAACACCTTCATTTTAGAAGTTAACACCTACATTTTAGAAACAAAGGAAAATCAACTTAAAAACGCTTAGTCTCAATTTTTATTCGTTTTTAAATTAATTCAATCGAACTACGCGATGCACTCGTGATTCAGTGGAAACATAAGTAAATCAGATTAGTTGCTCATAGTTTTATAACAACATGAAGTTCATATTAGATTTGTTGAGTTTATTTTTAACATTAAACTTTAGATCGTTGGTTAATTGTGGTAAGGATTACTTTTGTTATCTTACATACACACAACGCCCGTATTTAATTTTTATGCATTCTCGTTCGAACCGGCTAGGCTTGATGAAGTGATCTATACACTCTTAGTACTGTTGGACGCTTCTGGTCTTAACGCCAGCAATGGCCAGGGCATGCGGGTCCGTGCTCTTCGAAATCAATCCCGTAAAATTGTAACTAGTTGTATGCAACAAGTTATGGGGAAGCTTACTAACATTTTAAAACTAAATAATTTTTATCAATGAGTCAAATCATAGCCGTTGTATAAACAATATTTCAGCATCGACAAGTAAAACGGAGTTAGAATGCGAATTTCCTCCGAAGATGGAGGAGGACCTCAGTCACGTGAGGAGGAAGAGGCTCACCACCGAGACGGGCCTTGTGTGCCTGGAGGATTATCCGTACACTGTTTCTGTTAGGTAAATACTTATTAATTTTACCATTATATAATTAAGTAAAGTAATTAAATTAAAATCATATTTTTGAATTGAGTTGTATTAGTATTTTATTTATTTGGGAAACAAACAGTACAATACAAACAAATAATATTAAAAAAAATAGCTAAAACAATAACCGAATATGTTTCCACAATCAAAATCACATATATGTAGAAAGTGAACAGAGAAGAGAAATTTAGAAATTTAAGTTACAAAAAAACAAAAGCAACACACAATATGCACATATTATTTTGTACATCAAACTTACACTATAAAACTATAAATACTCATCGGACTAAATCACCTTATAAATATTTCAAAATAGCTTATCTTTAAGCTTCGAAAAGTCAGGAATATTTTTAACCAAAAAATATGGAGTGTGGGGTTTAAGTTATGGAAGAAATAAATATCAAAAACCAATATTTCCGTACCAGGCTAGCATGAAATCACAGCAGTATAATTTAGTGACGTTCGCAGGTTGCACGGCAAGCATTGGTGCGGGGGTGCCATCGTCAGCAAGCAATGGGTGCTGACCGCCGCGCAATGCTTTGATTAGTAAGTTTCATCAATATCACTTTACTGCGGATTATCAAGGGTGAGTTCGATGAGTAACCATTCCCTTAACGAGAAGTTACTTCAAATTACAGAATCCCTCTTTTGTTTTAATTAAACTATTATTTTAACTTACTTTAAGTTTTAAGTTTAAGAACTTATTTTAAGTGAAATAGATGTTTTTTCAAATTGTCTCACTACTTACAGGAAAAATCTGTCGCGGATCATCTCCCAATTAAATTAATCTTAAGCAATGAATGAAATGTATCCAATTCTTAGCTGTATATTTTATTTTTATTTTTGATGTTAATGTAATGTCGATTGCACCTATAATTGAGGTGACATCTGCCATGAACTTTTGTCAATTTGTCAATGTTTTGTATTGATGATCACTTTGTTGGTGCAACTTATTAAATAAATAAATAAATAAATAAATAAATAAACTATGTAGTCAAAAAAATGCGGTTATAAGATTAGCACTACCGAAAAAATGCCACTTCCGATCCGCCTGCTTGTAGTGCCGGCGATAGGACGCAGCGCATAAAGGTGAAACAAAATAAAAGTTAAACAATGAATAGATGTTTAAATAAACTTGTTTAAATAAACTTGTTTTAAAATACTTTATGTATCTGCGTGTCACCGCTATAATGCTCTTGCTCTGGCTCGTGTCAATGTACTCGATGTGTTTTTATTGCGACATATATATATACTTAAGATTAGGCACGTCCTATTTACAATTCCACGTAAGCTTGTTACCATCCACTCTCTTTATAGTTTTTTATAAGTTGTTTTGTAATTCAGCAAAAGTTGAGAATAATTAAAATTTGAAGTGTTACAAAAGACGAGGTGTCGGTTCGCATGGGATCAGTGTTCCGAGACTTCGGGGGTCGGATCCTGTCCGTGCTGGACGTGCGGAGACACCCGGACTACAGGGTCGACCAGTACTATCCAGAGCATAACCTCGCTATGGTTAAAGTAAGTCTTTATAATTGATCACACTCAAATAGAACTATTGTACTGGCCAAGCTGTAGTCGTAATTGAGGCTTCGATTTGTTTCAAAACAGAGACATTCGCGTCTATTCACAACTGTGGACTGCAATACATAAATAGGTATATCTGCTTTCGTACCGCTTAGGTAGATACTACATTCCATAAAATAATTAGTTTATACCGACTACTGTACTATTGATAGTTTACTGCTGGTCGCGCGGTGGGTCTCAGTATAATCAGAACCGAGACCATGTACACACCCCTTACTGCACGGGTAGGTGCCACCACCCCGCCTATTTCTGCCGTGAAGCAGTAATGCGTATCGGTTTGAAGGATAGGGCTGCCGTTGTAACTGTACTGAGACCTTAGAACTCATATCTCAAGGTGGGTGGCGGCATTTACGTTGTAGATGTATATGGGCTCCGGTAACCACTTAAAACCAGGTGAGCCGTGAGCTTGTCCACCCATCTAAGCAATAAAAAGAATAAATAAATACGATAACATATTTTTATACGTAAATTAGTCTTTTCTTTTCATTTCAACTCAAATCATAATGTTATGTCAGATTTTGTTTAATTTACATTTTATGTATATATAATGTACATAACGATATGTTTTGTTTTTGTATGACGTACCTATGCATTGGGTTTTACTCGTAAAGATACGAAGGACCCACTAAACCAAACCAGTTGTGATATATTGCCGTGTTTTATTTTAAGGGGCTTATAAAAAACACCTTGAAACTGTTAAGAAAATAAAATATGTTAAGCGCTAATTATGAAAACTATTTAGGAATTCTAATAATAATTTTTTTTTTAAACATTTAAGTCATTGAACTCCAACCTTACCGATAAATTTTAATAACGAAACTGTCAACTTCTCTTCGCTTTCATGCTGCCCTAGTACGACTAGAGTACGAAAACACTCAGAGGTGCCATTGGCTAAATAAATAAGAATTTTACTACTAATTTCATGAATTGATTGATTGATTGATACGTAGAATTTTAACAGCAATTGAACATGAACCCTAAATCATACGATCTAGGTTTATAGTTTACTGTAGACGGCATTGTTATTTTGAGAAATCGAAACCTCGCTCGAAAGTTTCTTGATAAGTATTTCTCATTATTCAGACCGATTGGCTACAAGCCTCTGCGTAAATTCTGCGATCCTGGTATTTTCAGGTGAATCTTCCGATAGCTGCTAACAGCCGCATGCAAGCCGTGCCGTTACCCGAACCTGATGCCGATCTACCGTTGAAGTTTGGTGAAACTGTTGTTACCGGTTTTGGATCCGTGGTAAGTTGTACAAAGAGCAGAGCAACTCGTAGTCCACGTGGTGTCTTTATCGGAGCCCATAGACACCCGTCTTGGATATCAATTATTATTTAATACAGCCGTCCTCTCCCTCCATCCGGACCGAAGGATAGGGTCCAGCCTTTCCGCGCTCGCGATGGACTTTACACCAAAATAAAGATAACAGGAATATTTGACAGTTAACACAACACACAGAACTACGAACAAAAGATACTTAAGTAATTTATTATTAACGTTCTTTTTTTGATTATTTGATAATTGTTACGTAATGCAGAAATCCGGTCAAATCCGTGAAGGTGAGAACCAGGAATTGAGGCGGATGATAGTTCGCGAGACGTCCCGCGCCGAGTGCCGCCTGCTGTACGGCAACGACTACCTGCTGCAGCACGACAACATGTGTCTGCAGAGCGTCGTCACGGGAGTTGCGCTCTGTGCTGTAAGTACATCAGCTTACACTGACCGGTTAAGTTAGCGGGAGTCCCACCCGGCTTAGAAAGAAAGATGATGAATGCAAGAAAGAAACAGTATGAAACATGTAAGTGCGAGAGGCAGGAAAGAGAGAACTGGAGTGAATGTGTTAATTAGAACAAAAAGGGCCCGGTGATATCCACGATCGGGGAATGGAGGAAAAAAAAAAGTACATCAGCTTTACTAGTGTATAGATACATACTTTGTGGTGGTGTGGAATGTTTTTACTTTGTTAAGTTCTGTTTATTCAAGTTTAAACGTGGAATGATGGTGGCCTATCAATAGTTTGACACCTGTGAAAGTGCACAAGTGGAATGAAGCCGGTGGACATTCTCGGGATAAATTTCATCATGGATTACAATTTTAAATAAATCAACATAATTTCACTCCTCTCCAGCGGTCATCGGCGCCGCGGCGTTGTCGTGGCCTAATACGTCCGGTACACTCGTATCAAGCGATGCACCGGTGTTCGAATCCCCCAAGCGGATTCAAAATGTTTAACGAAATACGTACTTACCAAATGTTGTCACCGAGGCAACTAGGTCTCCCCCTGTCAGGGTTTTTTATAATTGCTTAGTTTGGTGGATGAGCTCACAGCCCACCTGGTGTTAAGTGGTTACTGGAGCCCATAGACATCTACAGCGTAAGTGCCGCCACCCCCCTTGAGATATGAGTTCTAATTCTCAGTATAGTTAAACGGCTGCCCCACCGAACCGAAACGTTTCACGGTAGAAATAGGCAGGGTGGTGGTACGCACCCGCGCGGACTCACAAGAGGTCCTACCACCAGTAAAGAAGTATATACTCGACACTGGCAACAATGACATCGCAAGATCTCCGCGGAGTTACATGTTCATGTTATATCACAACGACCAGCTCTGCTACCCCGCCCTGTGAGATGGTAACGTACGAGCGTCACACCAGAATATGAAATAGAAATCATTTCTATCGTTATTCTAGATGTACCATCAACTTAACTGGCAACTTATCCGTGATAAATTAAAATACTTCTAATGTTTATTTCATTACTTTTTCATGGTTTCTTACTTACAATTTGTATTTTTTGTATGTAATTTAAAAAAAACATGTTATTTTTGTTGTTGACACCAGGGCGACATAGGCGACCCGGCGGTACACTTCAACGGCATAAACCGAGCAGGGACGCTGTTCGGTATCGCGTTATTTTCCGGCACCGAGGAATGCGCAGCCAAATCCAAACCAGGAGTTTATGCCAAGGTTTATGCCAACACTAAACGGCAATTTTACTATTGTTAGAGCAATTCAGGTCTTTGTCCCGAATTTATTACATTTGTCGAGATAGATAGCGCGATTTATCTATTAATATTTATGTAATAAAATATTTATTTTTCCAAACCACCGGAAAAACAGAAACATAAAAACATAGACACATTTTCAGATTATAGCTTGCTCAACTGCACATATACCTCGACGCTGTACTACGAAGCCACTAGAGCTGGCACGTCTTCTGCATGCAAGAACGCACACTGCCTCCTAATAGTAGTAGAAGCAAGTTGTAGACGCAGTCCATAGTGGTTTTTGCAAACATTGGCCCCAACCGCACCCGAGAGTTGCTATATTATTGTCTCCGCTACTTTCAATATTTTAACTTTATCAATAGGTACAAATTAGATGTGTGTTGTGTGATAAAATGGGTTGTTTTTCCAGGTATCATATAGTCGACTTTGGATTGACAAAGTGTTAGGAGAATTACTGGAACATACGGAAAGTGCTGAGAGTGAAGAAAATGTTATTCCAGTTAATAACGATGATGAATGAATTATTTTATGTTTAAAAATTATATTAAATTACGTCTAAATTAAAATATACGTCTGTTGAAAAAACTGAAAATGTCTTACTTTTTTACAACACGTAATAAAATTACCGAGTTGTAATTTTAAATAAAAAGTTTAAGTTTAAGTAAAAAAATATGGGTCTTCTCCATTTATTGTTTTTGCTGACATACATATAAATACAGCTGTTAGCATAGTTTTAATAGTTAATAGTTTTTGCAATAAAATGGGAAATATGTATTGAGGGGTGAAAGTCTATTTGGTTTAGTACGTGACATTTATCTTTGTAATTATAAGTCAATTTTATTTCGCATCAACAATTCGATGTTTTAACTGAAATTTAATTAAGCTGTTCAAATAGCTGGAGAAGCTTTTTTGTTATGATATTTTTTCCAACTTTAAACTTTAATGGCTCTCCTGTAAAGTTGCAAACATTTCGCTTTTACCCCTCAATATCTTTTCATTAGTTCAGAGCGATTAATTACAATTCAATGAACACACGCACTTAAAAACTACGTAAATCGGAACCCACGTCAAAGTCGTAATCAGCTGTCTTCAAATGAAACTGTCAACTAGACACAAATTGTAGGTTATGTTTAGTTAGCTAACAATTACATTTTACATAATTATACAACTTTTTCAGTAAAACGGTGACAGAAAACTAGTTAGATGTCAGTTAAACTTCCTATTCTATTCCAAAATGTTTCACGGAATTCACTCCGTAGTGCCATTATGTCTATTTTAAGATCGTAGCTATTTAGGCCAATTTGTGTCCAAAGGTGAAGGTTTTGAATATAATCGAGCAGCTCGAACGGTCAAAGTTATTTTCCTACACTTCTTGCACTTTAATATGGATGAGCTAAAGCACAGAGCTGGAGAAAAATTCGAAGCATTACATGTAAGTACTTCCTGAATGTTTATGCGTTCCTGGTACATTCGCGCGAAACTGTACCGGGTTATTCACTCTCTTTTTCTAATGTCTCCAACATCTAGTTTCATGAAAATAAACATTGTATGGGTTTGATGTAACAGTATAAATGTAGTACATATTTATTTAAATGAAAAGTCATTGTCCTAATTTGCACAACTAATGACCCTGAATTTACATAAGCTGTCAAATGGTTTTTTGGTACGATACTACGCCCACTTACTATTTACGAACACTAGAATGCATGAGTGCAGTCTAAATAGTATTGTAATAACTATCATCTTGCCCAAAATTCTATTTGGCTTTGTAGCGAAACTAGATGGGGCAGTGGTATCTATCCATGCTGCTCAATATGAAGTACCAAAAGTAATTACACAGTTTAATAAAATCAGTAAGTTTGAAATTCTTCACAATCTTGTGAAATTTGTTTGTGTGCTATGCTCCCTGTCATTATTAAGGTTGAACTTCAGCTAAGTCCCAATGCTTCCATCTACCTATATATACACACTATCACTAAGAAAATACTGGATATCATATCTATAATATGATGTCATATTTTTTAAACAAAAACTGAAGCCTCACTTTTAATGTCCCAAGTTTTATTTATTTATTAGGTTCACAATACATATCACAAGCTAAAAAGATACATAAAAAACACAAGTAAAAAGGAACAAAATCTGGCTTGCAACTTAAGTTATGTGTGCACGACAAAACAAGACCAAGTGCTGAATTTGTACACAACGTTCCTTACAATTATACGACAAAACAAGACAATAACGAAAACTAATCTAACTTATTATGTAAAGAAATAATTTTATTCACAATATACAATTAAACAATTACACTACTAACATGGAGGATGCCCTTGAGCATTTTTATAAACGTCACTAACCTACAAGTAAAAATATCCAGCTCAGTTGATATTATTATAATATATTCAGTAAAATCTATGTGCTGTATCCGGATCTGCCATTAGTATTTGATAAACATAACAAAATACTTTAATACACTTCAGGTGGCTGCTAGATCTGCAGCAGATTCAAGTAAATCTAAAGTCCAGGATGTCTGCACTCAGACAATTGAAGCCATTAGAAAGGTAAACTCATCAATTGACCTTAATAATTGTGTATAAAACAAATCAAAATTTAATTATTAAAAGTTAATATACAAGCCAAAGGGAAATTAGGTTGAGCAATGGAATTTTCAGGGAAAGGCTCATTTATTGAAAGCGAGTGCTCTGTGAAAGAGCTGAGATGCTATATTATAGCTATGCCTAACTGACTTTCTGCAGATGCAGTTTGCAAAGCATTTTAAGCAGAAAGTGTGGCTCTGCTCTTGGCAAAACCAATTATTGCTAGCAGAAAGTAAAATAAAGCTACACACACACACACTATAACATAACTACACTTATAGTTAACTGAAAAAAATAATCACATAGATTTATATCACACAGCTTCGAGAGGCATTCCTGGAGTTATGGCAGAATGATCTAATAGCAGAAGGTAGAGAGCGTGTAGTGGAATGGTCAAGAGAGGCAGTGAAAAGGATAAAGGATGGAGCTCTACCACTCTCCCCATTTGTATTGTATGAGGAGCTATTGGCTTTGTTTCATGATAGAGGTAAAGTACCGATAATGTTGTAAACAAAATAATACTTGATGAATGTTGCGAGAACCATGTGACTTCATGCAGGTTGTGAGATTGTCTGCACATGTGCATCAATATTTAAAAAACAACATTATGTTAATTCTAAAAAAGCAGGATAATGTAATGGTAGGGTTGTTAACATTTGCTGATTGGTGACAATGTCAATATAAGAATCCATTTCGTGTTTCATTAAGTCCTAGTACAAAGTTATCTACACAGGTAAATGTATAGCTATGTTCAATGAGAAACGCACTATATTTTAAGACAATTCTAAGGCAGAAGTAGGTTTGTATCATTATAAAGAACATTGAAAATGTTAATTATATATTATGATTTCCACCTCAGAACTACATTGAAATGCCGCATTATTTGATAGCCTCTGTTTTAAGCACACATGCAGAAGCATGCTTGGTGAGTTTTAAATTACGAGGTCAAGACCAAATGAGTTCATGGTCCATCTGCTGTGTTACGGCCTGCGTGGCGCCACCCCCATGGTGAACGATGTCGGAGTTGTATTTTTTTTTTATTGCCTTTGTAGGCAGACGAGCGTACGGCCCACCTGATGGTAAGTGGTTTCTGTAGCCCATGGACTTCAGCCATGCCAGGAGCAGAGCCAAGCCGCTGCCTACTGCATAACTGTATTGTACATATAACACTGTCCCAATCTGCAAACCGGGACCCGTGACTGGTTCGCGGCAGAAAATGATTATCGAGCTTAATACGAGTGTTGTAAGGTTGAGCACTGTCCACAGTGTGGCGCCGCAGCGTGCTGATATTCGTGTGCGGCGGGTGCGTGGGCGGCGCGCTGGGCGTGTGCGCGGGCCTGCGGCTGTCGGCCCGCGCCCCGCCCGGCCCGCACGCGCGCGCGCTGCACTCCACCCCCGACCACTCCGTCATATTCGTGGAGGATGCCGTCGCACCAAGTTAGTGACGCGGTCACGCTTTAGCACAATAAGCCGTAATATCGTACCGAGATATGCTTTTCAAATAAACGGACAGTTTGAATCAACTGAATCCCGGGCGGCGCCGGGTGCCCGCACGATACGTATTACGCAGTAACGGTCAAATAATTATAACCATTTGAACGCCAAAATACGCAGTAAACACAACTCGACAATACCTTCAAGTTGTCATGGCCTAATGTATAAGATGGCAGGTGCATTCGCGTCGAGCGATGCGGATGTGCCGGTGTTCGAAATCCGCAAGCAGGTACCGATTTTCGTAAATAAATAAGCAAAATTTGCTTAGCAAATGTTCACGGATGACTTCCGCGGTGAAGTAATAACATCGTGTAATAAAAAAATAAAAAATTCGTTATTAGTGGCGGTAGAGCGTCTTATGTGCGGGCGCACGGGCAGGTACCAGCGCCCTGCCCATTTCTGCTTCAAAGCACTAATGCAATTTGAAATATGATGTATGTATGTAGAGCGTGTGTAACTGCGCAGGCGCGGGCCCGGGCGAGGTGCTGGTGCGCGTGCAGGCCTTCAGCGTGTGCGAGCTGGACCGCAGCGTGCTGCGCGGGCGCGGGCACGTGCTGCGCGCCCTGCTGCGCGCCGGGCCCGTCACCGTGGGCCGCGGCTTCGCAGGTACCCACGCCGCTTAATGAACTCCACGTACATTCATATTATACGAAATGCATTTGACCCATTTTATTAATAACTAGCGGCCCGCTCCGGCTCCGCCCGGGTCTTTAACAAAAATTACCACTATATTTGACGTTGTTTTATTTTTTTAAATAAAAGAACACTTATTGCGGCATAACTATAATAGTTAGACATATGCTGTTGTGACACTTTTTTGTAAATAATAATGTGTTTTACAAAGTCGTAGTACATTATTTTATTCTATCTTCAATAGTTTTCGCAGGGCACGCGATTTAAAGAATATTTTAGGTAATTTTTTTACACCTTGGGTTACATTATTGGAATTTTAGTAAGAAAAACTGAAAGAATTTTTCAAATCAGTTCAGTAGTTTCGGAGCCTATTCAATACAAACAAATAAATCTTTCCTCTTTATAATATTAGTATAGATAAGTACAAAGTGGTGTACGGGTACAGGCGTGGTGCTGGACGTGGGGGCGGACGTGAAGGAGCTGGAGCTCGGGGACAACGTGTGGGGCGCGCTGAGCGAGTGGAGCGGCGGCGCGGCGGCCGAGCTGCTGGTGCTGCCCAGGTAGGGGCGCGCGGGGGCGGGGGCGGGGGGTGGGGGGGGTGCGGGGGACGGCTCTAACCCGACGCCTGCCCGCAGCACGCGCGTCAGCAAGCGGCCCGGCGGCATGTCGGCGGACAGCGCGGCCGCCCTGCCCTGGAGCGGGACCAAGGTGCTGGCCACGCTGAGGAAACTCAACCTCAACCAGGACAACCTCAAGGGGAAGCGGTATTGTAGTGCATACTTACTTAACGAATATTCGCATTATAAATCAATCACTAACAATAAATGATTCTTATAACTAAGCTTTAAGCTACCCATCCTTCACGGACATGACGACGATACAGAAGCCTTAGGGGGAGATCTCTTGAAATTAAAGCCATTGTATATAATTATTTGCTGCCCTAATCAAGGAACAATGTTTATTGCTACGTCAAAGAAATGCATCTTAGCATAGAGGACACAAGGCTGGGGAGCCGCGGCCCCAGGCATAGCTCTGTGCTGCGCTATCTGAGTTAAAAATCCAAAATTCTAAATAATGCCAGTGCCACATATATTTACTGTGTAACGTTGCGTGTCGCGAGCGGTACTTCGCTGGTGTATTCCCGAGAGCAGTTCTCTAGCGCCCCGCTTAACTGTGACGTCACTGTGCGTTACGCACGACCGAGACACCGTCCGGTGCCGGAGCGTTTGTCGCAGCAGCGCATAGAGCTACACCACGTGCTTGTTGGTACCGAATCATAAGACATCTTGGTCCGTCGGTTGTGTAAATAGGAATAGGGGTAATTTTGTTGGGTGGGAGTGGGCCGCGCTGGGCAGTACTGACGGGGTGGGTGTGCAGCGTGGCGGTGTGCGGCGCGGCGCGGGCGGAGCTGTGCGCGGCCGTGCAGCTGCTGGCCCGCGCGGGCGCGCACGTGTCCGCACTGGCGCCGCGCCACGCCGCGCAGCTGCTGCGGGACCTCGGTGAGTATATTGTCTATTTCCTTTGTGGGCAGACGAGCATACGGCCCAGCTAATGGTGAGTGGTTACCGTCGCTCATGGACGTCAGCAATGCCAGGGGCAGAGCCAAGCCGCTGCCTACCGCTTAATACTCTCCACAAGCCTCGTTTGAAGAAAGATACGTCATAGCGCTCGGGAATCACCGTGGAGGGTAGCCGGATGGTACGTGACAAAAAAAACCTCTGGAAACGCACTGTGGATGACCGCAGTGGCTCCAGGTAGTATGGATGAACTCTACTCCGGTGGCGGGCGGTGCGATGGTAAGAACGAGATGATAGTACTCGAACAATTCCTCAGATATTCCGATAACAATTCCTCCTTATGTAGTTGGTCTTTATTGTCGTGAACCGACATTAGTACAAGTGGCATTCAAATGTATCAAAATTGTGATTTTGGTTCATTGACGTGAGCAGAACCACCAGCGTTTTAAGATGTAAGTGACGCTACAACGTCAGTGCCATCACCCCCCTTAAGATATTACATGCGACTATTTCATCGAACCGGAGCCCACGATTACTTCGCATCAGGAATAGGTAGAATGGCGGTACCCACCCGTGCGAGCTTACAATAACCCTCACCGCTAGGAAATACTGTCGGTCTGGCGGTCGCAGTAGGCTAATGTACCACTCGGAGACCGCTGCTGTCCGTTCTCCCCCACTCTCCCCTAGGGGCCGTTTATGACATCGATAGGGAGGGTGCTTTTCAGATTCACTCGGACGCCATACGGCTAAAGTTCTTCTATGCTGTCTGATCATTTATTTCTGAGCTTCCTTTTGTTATTGAACACAAGTCATGATGTGGACAAATCTTGTGTGCGTTGCAAAATTGATAGTAGTGTCTGGTCGGCGTGTACAGGGGCGTCCGAGTTCATAGACCCGGCGGAGGGGGGGCTGCAGGGGGCGGCGCGGGTGCTGGAGCAGCACGCGCGGCGCGAGGGCTGCTGGGACGCCGTGCTGCTGTGCGCCGGCGCCCCCGCACCGCCCAGCCCCGCCGTGCTCAGGTGAATGCAACTGCACTATATGTCCGTGCAGTTTGGGTCATAAATAATCGGAGCGGTGAAGCGAGTATTTCGCTCTCGCTTCCACTCACGAGCCTTATGGACGGGCATAGTGATGCGCATTATTGTTGTCGATAAGCGTTATCGATAGTGTATTTAGTTTTGTCATTTTATGGGTTAGTGATAAAAATGAAAGAAAAAATCACTAATCAAACACTACACTACACCACATATCGCCGCAGCAAGTTAACGAGAACGGCAGAAATTAACACTTTGTAACTTTTCGGGATCTATTCTCATTTCAGTGAAAATTTTTAACACATTATTGATAATAACACGTGCTTGTCCTGGTATATTTTTGCCAATAAGCAAAATATTTGAATAAATTCTACCGTTTTGATACAAAAGAAAGGAGTAGCCATTGTGTCACTAAAGAAATTCAGAGAGCGAATGCACAAAATCACATTTCTCTTCGACATATGTACTATAATTTGCAGGTAGGTACAACAAATGACTCATAACATAACAATGTCTCATCACCCTTCGTATACCACCCCGCCGCCGTGTACCTGCCTTCGATGACTCATTTGTTTTTATCGATAATGGCGTTGCGCCCGCGGAACATGCTCACCGCCCTAGCCGGGCTATGTTTTATGACCCAAACTGCACGGACAAAATAATTCTACTATAAGCCCTCAGATATCCTTGCCAAAGGTTTTCGAACTACAAATCATCCGCGGAATGAGCGGCGGAGCGTCAGTTGTACTTGTAGTAGTACAGTAGCACCGGTGGAGGAGAGCGTGGTCCTGTTCGACCCTCAGTGGCCAGCATGTCCCTGTCGAATGATCACGGACCACCTCCTCGTCCAAAGCTAGCGCAAGCACGCCTTGAGCCCGCCTGCTCACCCATGAGCGCACGTGAGCCGGCCGCTGTTGTGGTTCCAGGAGCAGGGCGCGGCGCAGCGCGGTGTGCGCGGTGTCCGGCGCCGGGCCGGTGTCGGACCGGCTGGTGGCGCCGCTGGCCGCCCTCTACGCCGTGCTGTTCTACTCCTACAGGCTGGCCAGGGTAGGTGCCGCTATCAGTATTGTTCCAGGCGGGAGCACACCGCCAGCACGCGGGACTCGGGCAGACAGGGAGGAGTGTGCATCAATGAACTGACTTCCTCGCCCCCTGCCGCAAACTATGTACAAAATAAAAAGAGACTGAAATGTTGAATCGATTTTACTTATTGCGTAGACGGATGAACGATATCACGGCTCATTTGATATTGAGTGGTCACAGGAGCTCACAGACATCAACAACGTGAAAGACGACATCCACCTTAAAAGTTGTAGTCATTGTCTCAATTACATTATATTAAAAACACCGAGTGCGCAAAAACAATTGAAGCGATACCGACAACAACCGTGACTGTATGTATACCTCGCATGGTCATCCGCAGTGGATGTGTTTCTGCGGCTGGGGCCTGGAGTGGCTGGAGGAGGAAGACACGCTGCGCGGAGGGCTGGAGCGGCTGGCGGCGCTGGTGGAGCGGGGGGACCTGGTGCCCGTGCTCGACAAGGTACGCCCCCTCCCCCTACAGCAGGCGCGGCGACTACTCTATGCAGCGTATCGGTACCGGTCATATGTACGTAACCTGTGTCCGCGGAGGGCACCGCCGGGGGACTGCCCGGCGTGGTGGGTGCCCAATAGGACGTGTCTTCCGCAGGCAAGACTTCATAAGACAAAACATGATTTAGCATGTACTCGCGCGCTGCACTTTTATATATAATGTAAGGCCAACCAGACGAGATAAAAAATGTAAACAAAGTTTTAGGAGTAAAAAACATTTTTATTTAAATAAATTATTACAAAGTTCGAATTTTAATCGCTGTCATCTGTACTAGACAAAGATGATTCGTCGGAAGAGTCCGTGTCAGCTGTGTTTATGATAAAACTATCTATTGTATTATCAATCATGTTGTCAATATTGCTATAAAAATTGTCCTCGACTTTTATAACACTTCAAACGCAATCCAAACAGGAATGAACTTGTTCACAAAATGGCGGACCAAATGTTGACAACTGCGGTACTCAGTGCTTTCCTGTACCACGAAACACACAACGACAGCTGTTGTCGACCAACTGACGCCATAACTGCGCGTACGAGTGATAAGGACAGAGATAATAATCCCTCGCTATCGCAATGTAACTCGGTAACGGTCCGCTTGTTTACGTTTATTATCTCGTCTGGTTGGCCTAAGTTTAGCAGTGTGTAAGTAACACGGGGCGCCGGCCCGGACTGAGAGAGCGGTGGACTTAACTCTGTCCATCAGAGATAAACTGTCGAAGAATTAGCTTAAAAAGTAAAGCTTAGACAGACAGTATTGAGGAAGCAGTGACAGTTGTCCTTCTGCTCGTCGCGGAGGTCACGTGAGGACTAAGTGAGCATTGTCTGGGCGCGCAGATCTTCGTCCCGCAGCAGTTCGAGCAGGCCTTGGCGCACGCCTGCAGCGAGGACGCCGTGGGGGCCACCGTCGTGCGCTTCCCGTAGCCGTCGGAGGGCCGCGGGAGGACGCGAGGGGCGTCCACCAGCACGCGCCACGAGCACCCGAGACTCACTGCCGATGTGCGAATTGAAACGTAGCAGTCGATGTCCCCACAGAACAGTTGCGGTGGGAAATTGTAGTGTATGAGCTTATAGAAAATTACAACAAAAATTAAAGTTTGTAAAAAAGAGTTTTATAGTGCGTCTGTGATTGTACCAACTCCAAGACGGGGCGTGCGTGCTCCGCCTGCCTGGCCCCCACATAATCAGGTACAACTAGTCTCCAATGTAAGAAATTGTCACAAAATTATCATAGTACTGAATCCGTCCGTTGATATTACTCTAGTCCAGCGGCTCTCAACCGCCGCGTCGCGACCTCTTGCCGCGTCTCGGTCCAACGTTTATCTGAGGTGACCGGGGGTAGCATAGGGATACATATGGGGTAAATATATAACTGTTCATAGGATGTTAACTGTAAAAATACAGTTAATAGATTAATTCTGTACAATTTAATAAATGTACTTACCTTACCTTCTTTCACTTACAATTTAGCATGAAGTATGTGAGGTTGTCGCGAATATGTTAGTGCGTCGAATGAAAAAAGTTGAGAACCGCTGCTCTAGTGTACAAAAATAAAATTTCTTGGTGTCATGACTCCCATTCCCAGTTGACATGACCCTCGCTAATAAGCAGCAATCCACTTAATGTTTGATTCCACGTCTATAGGCAGGCTCGCGGACAGTACTCACTAAACAACGCTCGATCCAGTAGGGCAGCGGTCGGGGAACTTCTTTAATTATTACCCCAAAATATTTTTGTGTAAGTTGATATTACCCCATGGCGAAGAACAAAAAAATGAAATCGCTTCTTTTTAGTATCTTTCATATTATAGCCCCCATGATAATTTTGAAAAGAAAACATTAACTAAAAATTTTACGATTCTAAAGAAATTTCACTTCAATATATAATTTTTAGTCACAAGTTTCATTTTTACCCCCAAAAATTTCATTTTACCCCATTTGGGGTAATTTACCCCGGTTCCCCGACCGCTGAAGTAGGGTGTAACGTGGTGTTGTCCTAACAGTGCGTGACGTGTGCACGGGCGACGACGGTCGGCTCGTGCTCGTAGATCGGTTTGTCACAGCAACTGTTTAGGATGCTACCAGCACAGAAAGTATTTTGGACCGCAATACGCAATCAGTCGTTTGTATTTATATACCAAAGATAGTCACAGTGAGACCCACCATGAAGATGAAATGTTTATTGGAATGATGATAAGTTTAACTTTCTAATATTTAAAATGAGGTGCTGTGAATGCGACGTTAAATCAAATCAAATGTTAATATTTAAAACAAACGCGTGAGCAGTCCCTGCAATCCCGCTGGACCCCTTACATCTAACTAGGGGAGAGATAAGAACCACCGCGGAAATGTACAGAGAGACCTTCGTCCAGCGACGGGGCTTCACTGGGGCTCCAGACCTCGTGAGTCAACCCTGCTAAACTAAGCATTTGAGTTCGGCACGGACTAGGGCAATACCTATAAACTACTGAAAAGTTATTGCCCGAATTCTACAAGGGCGGGAATGTGGGAATATATTTTTAAAATATTGTGTCAACAAACTATATAGTTAATATAGGATTTATAGTATTTGTATAGTAGATAGTGGTAAATTTACAAAAAAAAATATGATTACTTTGTGTAGTTAAAAAAATATTTTGATAATGAAATTATTTATAATGGAATAGTTAGGGTAAACCCACGTTTTTATATTGTAAGAAATTTAGGAATTGTTGTTGTCTGGAGATGCGTTTACTGTTATTATATTCCTGGACATCGGCCACGTCAATAGTGAAGTTGCCACTTTGGATATGACGGGCAGGGGAATTAATACAAATTACTAATCGATAAAAATCTACATATAAGTTCCTTATTTAAATCGAATAGCAAATAAACGTTTTCATATGAAAATTACAAGTTCATGTTGTATGTGTACAGCCACAACGAACAAGGTCATGAAATGTTTCAATGAACTGTACGTATTTACTGATCGAGCTCCTGGGCCCCCTGCCCCCTGTCTCCCTGGTGTCGCCGGCCCCCCGCCCTGCACGACTCGGCGTCGCCAATGAAACACGAAATAAGTTCTCACGATAATCATTATTTTATTAGAAATAGTAGAAAAGTTACATTTTTCATCATGTGTCATATTTTAAAATGAAGTATTTAGGTCGCCATGTTCTAAAATATAAATTGTATTTTATTTGAATAAAAAGCTTACATGTATTGTTTTTCGAATTATTATTTTTTTGTAATTAAAATAAGTTATTTTATAACGCAGTTAGTGGGTTTTCATAGAATGTTATAAAAAAACATGTAAAACCTCTGCTCAAATTAAAAAATACTTCATTTGTTAGTATTTTTTACATTTTGGTGTTGTTAGTTTACAAATTATTGAATTATCCCATCTATTATTAAAATATATATCAAAGTTAACTTTCTTTGACTCCTCTCGATTATACTTGCAGCTTTTCTATATACTATTCGTTTTCTTTACGTTTCATTATACATCAATAATATTTATTTTTAATAATTTATAATGTTCTGAAAATATATTGAAAAAAAACCAACGATGTTTCCGAATGAGTAGGTACTCTTGTACCGCGTTCGTGCACAAACCGATGTGAACCTTTGTACTGTTGTGATTGTAATAAAATGTTTCTCTGTTTACTGTCGTTGTATTTATTATTCACTGCACACTCCCGTGTGCTTAGTGCGAGATTTTTAACGTTCTCGATAGCGTAAAAGTTAGCTCACATTTGTATGGAATGGGATCGTTTGCGTACGTTTGCCGCTAGGGGCGCTGTTCTAACTGCATACAAAACTGTGTTAACTTTTACGCTATCGAGAACGTTAAAAAACTCGTACTAAGCACATTGACCGCGCTGTACAGTGTCGTGCAGCCGTCGCACAGAAATGACCCTAGAGGCAGTCGTTCAAATGTGGCCAGCTCGTCGAACCCTGAGACTTGGTTTAAGAAACAAGCGCGCGTCCATACCCGGACACCGTCGGCCCCGGCCCTGTCCCGGGCGTGTTGTAGGGGGGTCCATCTGAGTTTGGGTAATTCTGTGTCTGTGAGTAGTTCCGGTTTCAAAGTGGACTAGCCTTTATACACAACATACTTCATGTCTGGAGGTGGGTGGCGTGCGTGTTGTGGCGTATCGTGTGGGCCGTGAGCATGTCCATCACTCACTATATTCAAGTACCTAAATTTAATTTACTGACGAAACCAAGACATCCCATTTACGTACCAAGGTTTTTAAATTAAATTAAGAAAAAAGATAAGTTATAAATAAAACACTAAATTAGTTCAGTTTCATTTATTGAATACACAACCGAAGCAAAAGAACAATCACCATTAACCGCGGACCGCACGCCGACCTTCCCGCGTTCAATTTACATTTACTTAAGTAACGTCCACACGAGGGGGGTCAACAAGGGTGTGTCCACACGTATCAGGACGCCTCCCCCCAGTGTCTTGACGCGTGGATATATAACAAGAGCGACACTTGATCATTGGAAGTGGTCCGCGCCGACCATGCACAACACTGGAATGTTCCTTCAGTCAATAATTAGAATAATAATAACAGTACACTATTTTTTTTATTACAAGTCATGTTTGAATGTTTAATTGATTATATAAAAACGTAAATCAAAGTAAAATAAATATCAAGTGACACTCAACACTACAAGGGGAGATGGATCCGACAAATTTTAAACCAGAATACGACTGCACATACAAAGACGTCAATAATTGAATGCGGGGAGTTAACAGTTAAATCGTTCTTAATTACATTAAAACATATTAGAGATTCTAAGAGTTGGATTCATTATAAATTATTATATAATTATTATTTGTATTCTGTTATTACGGGGCGGGGGTGGGGGCAGGGGGCAGGGGAGGGGTGCTCCGGCGAAGGGCCGGCGGGGGTCCGTCGACAACTACGTAATTACTAATTTATAGGTCATTTTTATTTTCTTTTTACAATATTTCTTAGGAAAGTCAAGATTATTCGATTACATTAATACATTAAATAACAAGTACAACCATCACGTAACAAGGCAACTACAGTACAGCAGCGGCAGCCGGCGGCGCGCGACTCTGCAAGCACACCCTACTGCTGTACTACACTCCAAACAATTGTTTTATTTACACACGTTCATTTTAATAAACGTAATAACATTGTAGACACGTGCTTGGCGCTGGGGAGGGGCGCGTACAGCCGCTGATGTCCAATGGCTCAATGGACCCGCGCGTTGAGTTTGTTCTCGATAAGTACAAAGCCTCGGGACAATTGCAGAAGTGCTGAGACTGCAACCTCAAACCTTACGTGGGCGGCGTCTCTTATTCGGGGGAACCGCATGTGCGGGTAGTGTACAGTATGATACAGAAAGAGCCAGGACTGTAGAAATGTTAAAAAAAAATTAGTTCTAAGGAGTACTCACCCTCAGTAGAGGCAGAGGTCCGGCAGCGGCGGACCCGACTTGAGGGAGGGCGCCAGCAGCGGCTCCTCCGACACCGAGCGGAAGATCTCCTCCAGCTTCTCTTGGATCTCGTACTGCACACGCACACGCAGTCAGTATTGTACCGTCTGGGTGCGGACTCCCCAGCGAGCTAGTGCGGCGCACGTACCTTGGGCTGCGTGACCTGCATGAGGTGGTGGAAGGGCGCGGTGCGGAAGGCGAGGTTGAGTGCCCGGCGGCGCTGCGCCGCGTCCCGGCGCTCCGCCCCCGACCCGCCCTCCGCCGCGCGCCGCAGCGCCTCCAGGCTCACCCCCGCGCACTCCGCCGGCGCCTGCTGCGGACCACGCACTCAGCCACGCGCGCTCCACGAGTAGCACAGGGCAGTCGGATGGGAGTTTGATAAAATGGGAAGTTGAAGGAAAAGGAAGTCGCTGAACGAAGCACACAATAATGATGTGCTCTATCTCTAACTTCAATATAACAGTAATGTTTGACCGCGTCTTTGTAACTTTGGTTACAGCCAGCTATACACTGCCCCGCGGCCGCGCTGGCGGCGACCCGTATTGAACTCTACGCACATAAACATAATATTGCAAATACAATAACCGTGTCTCCCTCAAACCTCCTCCCGTGCCTGGAGGTGCTGGCGCGGTCGTCCTCGTGTCCGCGGTACCAGAACCCACTGTCGCTGCGCTATCGTCGGAAACAAATCAACGAGCTAAAAATAGCATTTCTCAACCTAACAGTTACGACTGCGACATGGGGGACGGAATGGGGGTGAGGGTGGGAAAAGGAGGTCATGGTGCTCGTGGCTAGACCGGAGACCCGCTGAATGTGGGTACAGGACGCACGAGCGTGCACACGGTTCCCGAACCCACAGATCGTGAAACGATACTCCTCATCAAGATCATCGTGCTAACTCAACTGTAATGATTTACTGTGCAGTGGTTGGGTATTTCACAGCTTGCAATAATAATCCAAAACTACGATCCACAACTGAAGCGGCTGCTGTTGTCCAGTGACCACAACGTTACGTTTGCTCTGAGACCGCATTGGTTCCGACTCCGTGCGGTGCAGCGAGCACGGCACGTACCCTTGCGAGTGTGGGCGAGCTGGCGGCGCTGTCGGGCTCCGTGCCGGCCGCGATGTCCGCCAGGCTGTCCCGCCCCGCCGCGGCGCCTGCACATATATTATTTATTATTTTTTTAAGGTCTCGATGCGCTCCGATGTGTAGACTGGCTCACAGCCCCCGCTACCCCGCGCCACACTGTGCCCCCCCTCGACCTGATTCACGCAATCATTCTGTCTATTCTCTGACAGAGATGGACAAGCGGGTGCTCTGGGCCAACACCACGCAGCCGGCAGACATGCAGCGTTTGATGGCAGCGGTTCTCAAAGTGTTCGTGCTCCCTATGGGTTAGTTGGCCGAGGAGGCCGTGGCAGACCCATTATATACAATTACTAATTCTAGACCCAACACTTATCACTCGATATACACCCGGGGGCCGACGGAGCTCTAGTGCTCCCCGGGTGAACGATGAGTTGATTAATTAGTAAGATATTGTGAGTACCGGTCTCGATCCAACTGTGTCGGTGCTGCAGCGGCCCTCCCCCGCAGTAGGGCGCGGCGCCCTGCAGCCGGCCGCACTCCACGCCGCTCGCCTTCAGGCACTCCGATATCGCCATCTGTGCACGCGAGCGGAATGGTTCATGTAGACACACTTGTGGGGGCCGGCATGTCGCACAGAGACGTGAGGTCGGGTCACACCGCGCGGCGCGGCTACTGTCCCGAGCCCCGGACGGGTGGCAGAACGCCCTGTGTGTATATTTTTCTACTTTTCTTAAATATAATTCCAAAAAAGTGTGAAGCAGTCAAACACACCTGGTCCATCATGAGGTAGGGCACCTTGGCCGGCAGCAGGGTCGGGTCAGACAGTCGGTAGTCGTGCTGGAGGGGCGGCAGCAGGTGACCGCACTCTTCGCGGCGAGCCTCCACCACCTAGAACAGAGGGCGGGTGAGGTCGGGAGGCCACGTGTGGTGCGGGTGTGGTGCCGGGTGTAGGGCCGCACCTTGTGGATGTAGTCTGCGAGGCGCGGCAGCTTGGCGACGTGCGGCAGCAGCGCGGCCAGGGAGATGCTGACGGCCTGCAGCTGGCACTGCTGCGACACCGACAGCACGGGGTTCGATATACTTGACTGCTGTATGCTGGAACAGGATTAATGGAAATAACTCTTCGGTTCGTCACACAAGTCGATCTGTCATCCTGGCCTATAGGATAAGACGTCCGGTGCATTCGTATCTAGCGATGCACTGGTGTTCGAATCCCGCAGGTGTGTACCAATTTTCTAATGAAATACGTACTTAACAAATGCTTACGATTGACTTCCACGGTGAAGGAATAACATCGTGTAATGAAAATCAAACCCGCAAATTTAAATTTACGTAATTACTGGTGGTAGAACCTCTTGTGAGTCCGCGCGGGTAGGTACCACCGCCCTGCCTATTTCTGCCGTGAAGCAGTAATGCGTTTCGGCTTGAAGGGTGAGGCAGCCGTTATAACTATACTAAAACCTTAGAACTTATATTTCAAGGCGGGTGGCGCATTTACATTGTAGATGTCTATGGGCTCCAGGGCGCGGCGGGGCGCGGCGGGTACTCACGCCAGGATGAGCAGCATGAGGTCGCACAGCGTGTCGTCGGCCGCCAGCTCGACGCACAGCAGCGCGATGGTGGTGTAGATGCACGCGATGTTCTCCGTGCTGTTGGACTCCAGCTGCAGCCCTGCACAGAGCGCCGGCCCCACCGGGGGAACGTAAGGTACACTCGGGTGAAGTTGCTTAAACATTTGTATTTCTCGCAGCATGAACTAAGCTGCCAGGAATTCCCTAGACAGCACCAACGTGTCGATCCTCGAAGAACTCCAGATAAAGACGAGGCTTTCTACCATCTGCCTACGTGGAGTTCTGGAATACTTCGGCCACATTGCAAGAAAGGATCACAGCAGCTTACAGAAGCTAATGGTGACTGGCAAGGTGAACGGAAGAAGACCACGAGGTAGAGGCCCGACACGTTGGACGACCACATCCGCACTACCCTCGACACCACAGTTGACGATGCTCTACACTCGGCGGTGGATAGAGGCAAGTGGCGTTGAATGATCCGTAATAAGCTCTTGTTGCGTGGAGGTGGTCACGACCCTCGGTATTGAGGAAACCGAAGCGAAAAGAAGAAGCAGCATGAACTTTACTTTGTAAGCATATTTAAAAGAAAGAATCGGCAGAACATAGAATGCAAAACAAGAAAGAAAACTTCCTGCTCTGCATCATTGGACTAGACCTGCGGGCTGCGGCTGAGGGCGGTACCTTCATACAGCGCGCTGAATATGGCGTATCCGTGCTTGCTGATGAAGATCAGGTCCTGTCGCGAGCACTTCTCCACGGAGAGGCCCGCGGCGTCGTAGTCCAGCCTGCAGCGACAACACGACACTGGGGTACATCATGGCAGGCGACTGCGCCCCCTCCCCCCATCGGATAGACCATAATAATATGTTAAGGTATGGAGCACAAACAAATAAACACACGATCATTTGTTCATTCGATAAATAATTGTTACGGTATTGTCTTCGGCCTCACACCTCAAAATGTGAGGCGTCGGGGATTTTGCGATATTTAAATCTTATTTATAATAATCAAATATATAAAGAAAAAAAATTGTCATTCTAGCTCTCCGGTCATCGAATTTTGAATCTCATGCCTCACAACGTGCAGCGACAGGATGGGAGCTGTCCACGGACACCAGCACCAGCGCGCGCCCGCTCGTGGGTACGTACGTGACGACGGCCAGTCGCGGCACGTTGTCCCTCCTGTCCAGCAGCGTGTGCAGGATCCGCTGCAGCAGCACCCTAGTGGACGGCTCCGTGGCGCTGGACAGTCGGAGCAGAGCTTCCAGGAATGCTGCGGGGAAGGCTTTCGAAAGCTCTGTTGTTTTGTAAGTAGCCCCGACCTGCGGAATGCGGACAAGGCCTCTGGTGAGTGTGGCGGACACGGGCCGGCGGGGGGCGGGGGGTTGGGGGCGGGGGCTGGTGACCTTGAGCAGCGACTTGAGCAGGATGTGNGTGGACGGCTCCGTGGCGCTGGACAGTCGGAGCAGAGCTTCCAGGAATGCTGCGGGGAAGGCTTTCGAAAGCTCTGTTGTTTTGTAAGTAGCCCCGACCTGCGGAATGCGGACAAGGCCTCTGGTGAGTGTGGCGGACACGGGCCGGCGGGGGGCGGGGGGTTGGGGGCGGGGGCTGGTGACCTTGAGCAGCGACTTGAGCAGGATGTGCTGCAGCATGGCGTCGGCGCGGCTGGGCTTGGCGGCGCCGGGCACCTTGTTGACGATGAACATCATGATGTCGATCTTCTGGTAGTCCGGCAGATGGTCCGCGAACTCTCCCAGCGCGTTGATCAGCGCCTCCTGGTACAGCTTCTCCTCGGTCTCCTTCTGCGGTACGGACACACACACAGGTACACGCGGGCACACACAGGTGGATATCTTGTAAGAACATAGCAATTATATATTTTTACAAAGTCATTGTTCACTTTAATAAGTATTAACATTCGTTTACATTTTGTGCCAGTTCACGTGAAGTAAGAATATCTATCTATCTATCTATATATATAAAAATGAATTGCTGTTCGTTAGTCTTGTTAAAACTCGAGAACGGCTGAACCGATTTCGGTCCTAATTCTCGGAATTTAATAAAAATAGCAATTTTGTTTATATTTGATGTGTCCTCTGTCGCGTCGGACGGATTCCTTTTGTTTGTTTTAAGTTTATTTTATACAAAAGTTTAGGTCTTTTATTTATCGATTGAGGCACTACGAAGTCTGCCGGGTCAGCTAGTTGTTTAATAAAAATCAAACCCGCAAAGGTTACAATTTGCGTGGAGCATTCTGTGTGCCCGCCCGGGGGCACATTCTGCTTCGAAGCAGAAATGCTATCGGTTCGAAGGGCAGCCGCTGTACTGTACACATCGGGGTGTGGACGTGAAGGGGCTGGGGGCACGCACCTCGGCGCCCCGCGCCACGGACGCGCGCAGGTTGGTCAGGATGTTGTTGATGATCTCCAGCACGGAGGGACCTGCGGCGGACAGACTTGTTGTCACGTATGATCGCGTGGTGCGGTGTGGTACAGTGCGGTGGGTGGTGGGACACACACTCACCGACGCTGTCCCCGGCGGCGATGCCGACGATGGCGGCGAGCACGGCCGCGCGCGCCGCCCGCACCCCCCCGCGCCCCGCCTCCAGCTGCTGCATGAGCGCCTCCACCACGCTGTACGAGTACTGCGCCTGCACACACCCCCCGGCCCAGTACAGTCTAGTGCCGCGGCGCACCAACTTGGTTTATTTTGTCTATTAAGTGTTTCTTCAGGTTTAAATGTGCAATAACAATGGTTTATAAACTGTTTAATAACTGTGAAAGTGCACAAATGTGGGAAAATGAAACAAAGCAGCTAGACGTAACTTCTCGGAATTCTCCAAAAAGTCCACTGAAAAAATCTCAAGGAATGACCACCATTTTAATGAGATTATATGTCATCCCATATCATCTCATTTAAATTCATCCCAGTTGATTAATGTCTCAAATTAATCAGCTTCATTTCATTTCGTTTCACTCCATAATATCATTTTTCATAAAAATAAGAATATAAATTAAAATACGACATGACCTAAAGGTCTTTGTTACCAGGTCATAAAACCCCTTAAAAAAAATAAAAACCTGTATCGAGAACATGATGATTTTGAAGACGTGGACGGCGAAGTCGGTCGGTATCCACAGGTCGTGCCGGTCGAAGTGCCTGCACAGAACACGGCGCGTCACTGAGCGGACCACAGCTGGTCATGGTGGCCCGCAGTGGTCGCAGTCGAAAAATATACCAAAAACATTGAATTTCCACAATTACCACGCCCGTTGAGGGCATTGGATTTTAATGAAAAATAATTCTCGATATTTATTATAATTAAAAAAAAGGGTGCTTGTACGCGCTTAAGAAGTTATACTTTATTTTTATTAAATTTATTTCTTTTTTTTTATTTAAATTTTAATCAATTTGAAAAAAAATCGATTAAACAACATCCTCAAACACGCATATTGGACATTCCTTTTCTTGACATCGTATAAATTCGGTAATGCTCGGTACGGTTCGGAAAGTTCACCTGCAGCTATATTCAGACTCGCAAGTTACATCGGTCGTATTGTAATGAGCGATTTAGTGGGCAACTTCATTCTGTTAATTTTGTGTCACGGTGCGCGCGCATCGTAAAATTTAACTTTCATCAATTTTTCATAACGCGCCTAAAGAAGTATTACTTCAAAAGTTTGACATTATCTGTTCTCTACTGACGTTAATGTTGGCTTGATTCAAACAGATACCGTAAATTGGGGGGAATAGGAACTAGGGGTAAAATACGGACAAATCTGGGATTTTCTTTGCGACCTTAAGGCGCATTGATTTTGTATTTTCAACTGTATGGTCCAATTTTAATTGAAGTCAGTAATATTTTTTCTTTAATCTCGCGACATCTAGTCGTCTTATCATTGAATATTAAAGAAAAAACATTAATTTGTCAAACGGGTCGGAAAGCTACAAAATTTAGTCTTCAAAACATTTTAATTGTCTTTGTTACACATATACATACAATCTACATATTTGAAATTTTTATCAAGTGAAATTTTTAGAGTTGTTTTAGGTGTTTTGGGAACTGTATATATAGGATAAAAGTGATGTATCATTATTGTTTTTCATGTAGTATAAACAAATAAGAATGAGTCGGATTTGAACAAGAAATTGGGGAAAAGGCGTCCACGAATGAGGTAAGAACTACTTATAAACACGTATTCTATAAGTTTATAAATATTATTTTTTTAAATTAAAAATTAAATTTAAATTTTTGTTCCCAGACGAAAAAGTTACACTTTCCGTTACCTTTACACTCTCTCTCTAATCTGGAAATCAGCATCAACAAGATAATGAACAATACTTACAAACCAAAAAACATGCTTTTGTAAGCTAGCTGAACTAAAATGAAGAATATAATTTTCTAAAAATTCAATAAAATAGAGTAGTTAAGAAAAAACATTTTAACGTAAAAATGTCAAACAGATACTCAAGTGTCTCCTGCTGCAACCTGGGGGTAGGGCTACTCACGTGAGCACGGGCCGCAGCACGGAGCGGATGTGTCCGAAGGAGGCGCGCGCCAGCAGGTCGCGCAGGCAGGCCTCCGCCAGCCGCGGCGGGGACTCCTCCTCGCCCTCCTCGCCGCCCGCGCCGCCGCCCTCCGCGCACGACACCGTCTCGTACTTCTCCGCCGACTGCACACCACCACACCGCTACAGACTCCTCTACGCACCCCCTCCCCCATACCCCCGCACCCCCGCACGCACCTGCATGTTGTACAGCAGGGAGGGGACTATCTTGTCCATGTGCTGCGCCTCCCATATGTTCTCCACCAGGTCATCCGACACCGTCTTCCTGATGACGCCCTGGAAGCACAACGCGACACTCAGCCTCGTATCAACTGGCAACACGACGTAGACTGGCGGGCCGGGTGCGTACCTGCAGGCCCTGTATCCCGGCCAGCCGGATCCGGTCCCGGGGGCCCGGCTCCCCGTGGTTGCTGTGGCACATGGCGCTGAACTTGGACACGAAGAAGTCGTAGCGGCGGTGGTAGGACGGCGTGTCCTCCTCGATGTTCGCGAACCGAACGAACTGGAGACGAGCAAACAGACGAGCTCAGTGCGGGACGCTCACTCGACCTTGGGGCATTACTGGTAGAGATACAGATTTTATTGGAGATTAAGAGAGAGACAGGAACAGATGTTCACAATATTCACGATTGACTTCCACGGTGAAGGAATAACATCGTGTAATAAAAATCAAGCCCGCAAATATTATAATTTGCGTAATTACTGGTGGTAGGACCTCTTGTGTGTCCGCACGGGTAGGTACCAACCCCCTGCTTATTTCTGCCGTGAAGCAGCAATGCGTTTCGATTTGAAGGATGGGGCAGCCGTTGTAAGTATACTTGAGACCTTAGAACTAATATCTCAAGGTGGGTGTCGTATTTACGTCGTAGATGTCTATTGGCTCCAGTAACCACTTAACACCAGATGGGATGTGAAATCGTCCACCCATCCAAACAATAAAAAAAATTAATAAATAAAAGATTAAAACTGACGTCATATTGCATTATAAACGCTTACTAAATGTTCATTTCTCAAAGAATGTTTTTTTTTGTGGTTGGTTCGTGAACGTTAATCTTTTCGGAACCATAAATCATCACGCAACGTAATTGATTGTTAAATTCGTCTTTTAATTCTGATTCTACTGTTGCAGGTAATAGGTGACAAATTAGAACACGGCGCTATTGGACGCATAAGCCAATTAGGTTCTAAAAGCAAACAAGTTCAATCCATACCTACACACCCAACAATAAATCACTCAAGAACGTCGGAAGTTGTACATATCTCCCTTGTCTTCGATCTTCATAATAGAACTCTACTGATGAAATATATTTTTACACTATCTCATTAGGACTACAATACTAACACTCTGTGTGGCGAGGATCTGCAGCTGCGGGTCAGTGGACTCCAGTAATTTCTGAACCATTTTGAGGAAGCTTTCCACGAAGAGATTGAGGGTCTGCGAGTGGCACGCGACCAGCAGCTGGTCCATCGCCTCCATCGCTATTATTACGAATCTGGAAAATAAGTTAAAGTGAATGTGCGAGTTTGACGTACCCTGCAGATTATTTCGGCGGATGTTGCCGGCGCCATGCTGACACTCAACCTTGTACGACGTGAAGGATATTCAAATATAAAATAATTTCTTTCTAAGATTTGTTTTCCTTAAAAACATATCTCAAGGGCTTCCTCGGGTGCATTTTATAAATTAATTAAATTAATTAAAAAACAGCGCAGAGCATGAATGAGTTTAATTTCATTAGATTAGCCGTTATTATGCTACCGAGACTTCGACACATCGGCGGTAGCATTCCCCAGTCAGTTCGAAGGTCCTCCGTCCCGCTATCCTCTCCTTCGGATCGGAACGCAGGTCACCTAATTCAACACAGAGACCGCGTTCTCGTTACAATGTTTAAATCTCCACTTACCCGTGTCTCCTTCTATAAATATCCCTGGAAGCTTTCTGGAAGAGATACTCTCCGATCCTGTCCAGTTTTTCCGGACTGGATAAGGAGTAGAAAGTGAGCTTTTCCATATTAGATTTAACGAGTCCATCCTGGGGCGACGCCGGGAAGATGTTGTCGACGAGGCGCTTNTCGACACATCGGCGGTAGCATTCCCCAGTCAGTTCGAAGGTCCTCCGTCCCGCTATCCTCTCCTTCGGATCGGAACGCAGGTCACCTAATTCAACACAGAGACCGCGTTCTCGTTACAATGTTTAAATCTCCACTTACCCGTGTCTCCTTCTATAAATATCCCTGGAAGCTTTCTGGAAGAGATACTCTCCGATCCTGTCCAGTTTTTCCGGACTGGATAAGGAGTAGAAAGTGAGCTTTTCCATATTAGATTTAACGAGTCCATCCTGGGGCGACGCCGGGAAGATGTTGTCGACGAGGCGCTTGTAGCGCGGCCGCAGCGCCGAGCAGCAGCCGCAACAACCTGGCGACAACGTATTACTGGTTTAATAGTTGGGTTCAGTCATTACAATACGCTCCTCCTCCTCCGTGGGTCGTTCCTCAGTGCTGAGGATCGTGACCTTTACGGAATACATACGTAAAGGTTTTCTTGGGAAAATTGCTAGTGTTCGGTTCCCGCGTCCTTCCACGGCAGATTTTCAGAGGCGATTTACTTCCTCTGGGCTACTGAAGCCCTAGTTCGGGTTAGTTGACCGCCGCCCGTTGCTCGGCGTTATATTTTTACGGCCGAGTAGGTGGCATACCGACGCTCATTATATTTACATTACGCTATTATATCATTTAATGGGCTCGCACGGGCAGGCGCGCGTTTGAAGGGTCGAACGGCAGTCGTACAATGACTTAGACCTCATGTCACAAGGTGGCAGCAAAAATTAAGTAAATGAAAAGAAACAAAAACTTGCGTAACGACCTCTGTCAGTGAAATGTTTTGACTGGCCCTCGCATATGTACGGCAACCTCACAATGCACGACAGTATGCGCCTACTTACTGTCGAAAGACGATAAATAATATAAGTATCCTGAAAGATACGAAACTAAAAATACTCAGATAGCAGTCCTCGGAACAAACATGTGGTTAGCGGTCTTTTTCGACATTCTTTTCTTTAGTAATCACTGTATTTACATTGCACATATGTTAATATTATTATTTGAAGACAATCGTATTGGATGGGCGTTATATACAGATCGATTGTCGTCGTCTGATCTTTGCAATCCGCAACTGACCTGCGACTGTCGCTAACGAAAGCACGATTTGAACAATATAACAACGCCCAATTAATTAACTTTCAATATCTATCATTGTTTGTATGTTCTTGCACAACCTTATGAACAAGTCGCAAGTAATTAGATAAGATTATGTGTTCATTCCATAGGTGACAGTTAACTCAATTGGTAATATTGATTTCTACTTGTTCTTGCCGCAATATTTTGTGTCAATATACAGCAAAGCAATGTTGGACTTGGTAAATGTCTACCCGGACGGAGATCGGACGTCGGGTGTAAGCAGGGACGTCTTAAACTCGGCTGGGGCCCTTGGGCACACAAGAATTTGAGGCCCTTTTGGAAAGTAAAAAAAGCGAATATAATAACATTTTTTACTGAGTATGACCATTCATTATAGGTAATCAAATACAGTATGATATAATAATATTAATTATATTAGAATGCTGCTGGTTTTTTGGTTACGATAACGATAATGGTTTCTTTCGGGATTTCTGTTGAGCAAAATATTCCATTATATCTTTAAAGTAAATTTTTTGAAGGATATCACTTTCTATGCCCATAATTGACAAATTACTCAGCCGTTCTTGTAACATTGTTGTTCGCAATTAATTTTTTATTCTCTTAAGCTGCGAAAATGACCGCTCTCGCCTACAATTGGTAACCAAATTGTCGGTCCTTCGGGCCCCCCTGAGAATGGGGGCCCTGGGCACGGGCCCCGTGTGCCCTTATGTTAAAGACGGTATTGGGTGTAAGAGTGTAAGGGAAGTCATTTAGTGGTAAATGTCTACCTGCTATATAAAAAAGTATATGTAGGTGTGCTACTAATTCCTCTCAATCATTAACGGGGCCTAGGTGCTGGCCGGGATCGGACATTTTGTTTCTGATTGACACTGCATAATATACATTGCACTATTTTACCACGTAAGATCCTATGAGTTTAATAACTTTACATATAGAACTCCTTCGCGGCACGAGGCCCTAAAATCTCTTGCTTTAGAATTACTATACCGCTCATAAAAACAAGCTTTGCAGCGGAAATAGGTATGGCTATTTTGTTTCTTAGAATACTATCTTACGGCGCACCTGGTGTTAAGTGGTTACCGGAACTCGTGGACATCAAACAATGTAAATGCCGCCATCTACCTTGACACATGAGTTCTAAATCTCAGTTTTATAGTAAAACGGCTGACCCACTGATCATTTCGAAACGCATTACTGCTTCACGGCAGAAATAGGCAGGGCGGTGGTACCTACCCGTGCGGACTCACAAGAGGTTCTACCACCAGTAATTACGCAAATTATAATTTTGCAGGTTTGATTATCATTACACGATGCTACTCCTTCACCGTGGTAATTGCATCAACCCTGGTCCATACTTACAAGTCAAATACACCGTTCTACTGATGAAGAAGCACGCTCTATGCGCAATCTTCCGAATCGGAGTCATATTCACTGTACCACTCTTAGCGACAATTATTAATTCTATTTAAAACTCATTTAAGGAAAATATTTTTGTTTTTTTTCTCAGAATCTAATCACCTGCCGCTTCACGCTAATTTGACATTACAACTTCCGCACTAGCTCTATATAACACAAATGTACGTTAGAGATGTGGTGTTTTTCCCGTAAAATATTTTGTATTGTGCAAACATCGCAGCCATGCTCATTCGAACGGTTTACAAGCAGACTCCGGGTGTCAGGAAAACCGCAAAAACACTTTGGTCGATGGCGCTTATTGTTAGAACGCGTGTAAGCTAGAGTCAGCCTCGCAGAGTTTGCGACAATTCATTGAACATTGTTGTATTCGCAATGACACATCATCGCGCGCGAACGTACGCTTCGTTACTAAATACACGGATTGATAAGAGCCGTGATAAGAATTGACACTTGATCCTTGGTGATATCGCGATTTTCTAGTATTTTATTAATGGGTAAAATAATTAATTATTGACATCGTCATATTGTTTAGAACCGCAGATAGAAACTTATTCGGTGTTCCGACACGCTTAAGTTTACTCCGTCTGACGGTTAATCAGATGATCATTGGAAACTGTAAGCCAGGCCGATGTGAAGTCGAGCTTTTCACACTGTTACGGCTACTTCATCCTCCGTAGTAGGTATCAATTACCAATACTATCAACATAGTTTTCTTATGGTAGTAGGACCTCTTGTGAGTCCGTGCGGGTAGGTACCACCACTCTGTCTATTTCTGCCGTGAAGCAGTAATGCGTTTCGGTTTGAAGGGCGGGGTAGCCGTTGTAACTATATAGAGACCTTAGAACTGATATCTCAAGGTGGGTGGCGCATTTAGGTCGTAGATGTCTATGGGCTCCAGTAACCGCTTAACACCAGGTGGGCTGTGAGCTCGGCCACCTATTTAAGCAATAAAAAAAAAAGTTTTCTTATATATCCAATAATCTAATCTTCTCCCTCAAGTCTTGGGATGCGTGGCGGGTCTTATATTAGCCACAAAATCTGTTAACCGCTTAAAATCAAACGAATAGTACTCGTCCACGCGTCTGCGATAGATAATACAATCTGTTTACAAAATTTTAGTGTTATTCTTCTCTCGAACCACACTATACTGAGAAGTCACTGAAAGCAATGCAACGCGAACGCCGGACGCAAGGCCGACGTCTGAGGCGCGCTCTTTTGGCTGCGTACACATAACCACAACACAAATAACCGTATTTAACGCCCTAATTAAGTCCAGATAAGGTAAACAAAAACTAATCGATCAAAATATTTATATTACAAAAACTATTGTGCGTATTTGCGTATCCAGGAACGATGCCTTAAGATTGATTACTTTTAAACAACAACGAACGTTTTCGAGCATTTCAACTCCAAAAGCGTACAACAAACCGCGCGCCTGACTGTGCACTGACTAAATATAACGCTGGAGGTTTCATCTGAAAATAGATCTGTCCTAGGCAGGTACGATATATCGACCCGACATCATGCGACATTAAACATCATCTGAAAATCGAAACCCTTATTTGTATAAAACGTCTTCAAGGGGCAAATGCGGGTCGCGTTTAATCTAAACAAAAATACTATTAAAATACCCGTTCCTTCCGAGGATAACGTCATCACAAGCAAAAATACTTTTAGAGAAATACAGGATAAGCTCATAGCTAATTTGGTGTTAGGGGGTTGCCGGAGCCCGTAGACACTATCCTTGAGACGTGAAGTCGAGGCATCAATTATATTCTGTAATGGCTCTATCCCCATTAAAACCGAGACAAAAAGACTGCTTCGCGGTATAAATATGCAGAATTGTGGTAGCCGTGAGAGTTCACAATACGCCACCCGTCATTATGAAAGATGATTTTCATCGTGAAAGCTGTGGGGATTTGAACCTCCGCATATATGCATCAATCGATGAGTATACGGTGTGGTTATTAATCCTTTAGGACGTGCAGATTTTGACTATGACCCTGTCCCTCATGACCCGAGGTTAATTTCGACATTTACATCATGACGTCCTGTGAACTCAGGTGGTTGCTTAATGCTCTAATCTCGTTTACGACCAGAGTGTTTCAAAATCATAAAAATATTTACATACCAAAAATCCGAACTACAGATGTGTTCTGTAACACCATAGTCTGTTATTATTGCACTTGTTTTAAGCAAAAAAAAAATAGATTACGTTATATCAATCTTGAAACATCAAACATATTTTTTTTCAGTCACATGTACTCCGTGCCCTACGGCTGCTACTGCTTACTACAAGCGGCACGTGACTTGTTGGCGCACTAGTTTCTACATCCTACAATTATCAAGTATGCGAGATCACTCCACGAGATAAATACGGTAATCGCGACACCTCGCACCCGGGGTTCACTGTCACAGCTGTTTTATTGTTACATTGAAAAGCCAGCGAGGATCGAAGGACGCGGTAGGAAGCCGCCGATATGTAGGTACGCTCCACTATCGCAGACTCGTTTTCACACAGGGTTCTTGCGGGAATGTACAACGATCCTTAGAAAATACCGTTCAAAATGTTTCAATCTATAATCTCTTATCGTAAAATAGCTGTTATCTTTATAACATAATTCAACCAATTTATAGGTGTCTGATATTGTTTGTTATCATCTGATATAACAGTGCGTTTGTAGCTTGGCGATATTATATCAATATTTCGCGTCCTGATCAAGATGTTACAAGTTCGAGACTAGTCATGGTATCACTACGTCACTGTTTGTCTGAAAGTCACAGAATTCAGAAATATCAGACATCTACTTGTAGGCGATTTTAATGTCCTATTATTTATTGTCTTTCATGAGTTGAAGTAGTTTTCTCATGAGAAAACAAACCCGAATAAAGATACCTTAACGTTGGATATTGTTGTTAGTCTAAATTTAATTCTGATGAAAACCCTTCGAAGAATGCCGAAGCATCGACGTCAGACATATTTAATTCAAATACATTCGACGGATTATTGTTGCCGTGAAGATCTACGCAAAACTTAGCTCTTTTTACTTAGTAAATATGGTGGTGAATTATTATTATTTTTTATCAGAAGGAAATCGCTAGACTTCCGCCCTCCACTGGAGATGGCGGGTGGGATAAGAAAATCTGATCTAGCCACCTGATTGGCGACCAGACCCGCGCGAACGATGAACAATCAAATAACATGTGCATATGTATTACATTTATTCTACTATTCTACCTCGTCCCTTCTCCGACCAGCAGTAGTGACTTTCCTACTTTAAGTATTTACTAGTACCGGTGGTAACATTGTTCTAGTAAAGTGTTAAAATACTTTGCCCTTTGCTTGTTTGATTCATCACAGAACACTACCAACTGAATCACTAGCTAGCAGAACCAAAAGGTGATAAGTGTGCAGACAGAAATACGCCTTTTCTCCGCCCGTCTTGACCCAATGATGACTGAAACGCCATTACAGAGACAGTAAATACCATACATATAAATTGGCCACAATAAAACACATAACAATTGATAAAATGAGTCAATGGTGCTGTAGTTAGCATCCCTGACTGTTGAGCCAAGGGTCGTGGATTTGATTCCCATATCAGGTAAACATTTGTGTGATGAACAGATTTGTTAGCTCTATCTTCTTGTGTTTATTATCTATGTATGTACACATAAATTAATGTATATCAGTATCTGGTTCCTATGACCATGAGTGACTGCTTATTGTTAAGTTTTTTATTTGAATGCTTAATTTCAAACAAAGTCATTTATTGAAAGGATGGTATGTTATAAAATAAAGTTAATGTGATTTGATTTATAGCAGAAAAGTTTGTAGTAACTGTTCTGCCTTTTTTCGCAATATTTCATGTTCAAAATCTCAGAAGATAAATAACACAAATTTTATATTTACAAAAAGTTTATTGAACCCTATTCTTAAACTAGTGTTTTATGTAAACAGTTCAACTTGTATGTTATATAAATTACATAACACAATAATAAGCCCTATTTTTGCAGTGTAAATAATAGAAAGATTTTTACTTTCTTAGCTTATTGGGTCTGATTTTCATAGAAGACTCAGGACAAAATATTGTTTCATGCTTTAGAGAGCACACAGCTGATACCAAACTCTCATTTATTTACAGCATTTATGAGTGAACAAGCTCACAACCCACTTGGTGTTGTGCTTAGTGAAGACATTAGACATAAAAAGTGAATGCTCTGACCCACAATGAGACATGAGGTCGAAGCCTCAATTGCACTATAACAAATATCCTATTTTTCATTGCAATTTCTTTGAAGTTTAACCTTTTGTTTCACAATTTTAATTGTAGCAAAAACCATTTTTTATAATCACAAAGCACTACTAAAATACCTATCAGTCTGTGTTTTAACATCTGTGTAGCAAACATACTAGCATTTAGGTTACTAATGTTTCCTTTTGTCATCCCGTCCATCACGACTTGACTTTGACCTGTCATAATCATCATATTTCCTCGATGACATCCTACTACGCTTGTCATCAGATCTCCGATCCTTAGAACGATCTGCATCACGATCACGAGACCTTGAACGATGCCTCTTACTTGAATAATCCCTCTTCTTATCATAAGGAGATCTTGATCTCCGCTCCTTCTTTGATTTATGACTACTGTGATACTTTGAGGATAAAGGTGGAGTTTTAGGAGATTTTTCTTTCTTAGTATCCCGTCTGGTGTCTTTAGAAGTTGATGCAGTGGGTGATTCGGGTTTCTTTTCTTCGTTCTTAGCTTCTTTATCTTTTATTGCCTGTGAATGTTTATTAGCTATGTATATTTTGCGGAGGTTTTCAACTTTAGTCTCCAATTCTTCAGGGTTGACTTTAGCACGTTTATACAATTGTAGTATCCTCATTGACACTTCCCTGATATCATCTTCTGTAACTTTGAATAGAAGGAACCAGTGTGGGTTATTGGGCAGCGGCAAACCTATTTTTCTGGCCGTCAAGTAAATACAAGCACATGCAATGGTTTCAGGAGGAAATCTCATAAAGACATCTGTCCTTAGAGCATCATTCATGTAGTTCCAAGCCATTTGCATTAGTTGGCGGTTTTTTTCATATTGCAGTAATTGTAAGTAAACCACAATAAGTTTGTGTGGATGTTTAACATGTACACAGAATCCGAGCTCTTTTAAGATACGTCTTTCAGCTTTGATGACCTGATTTTTCAATTCTATGTAATTTTGGTCAACTAACATTGGACTTATTGTTTTCTGCGCTCTGACCTGTTTGATGTGGTGAAACACGTTGATTACATCTCTTATTCTGCATGGTTTCTCTTCGACTTTAGACGCTAAGTATATGCTACCCATTGCCATAGTTTCCATGGGATATCGTACAAATGATTTCGAGTAGTAAAACCTTTGTAGATAAATCTGACCAGTCGCCATAGCTACTTGGGGTAGCCGGAGCAGGATGCCAGCTGTTTGTATCATTTCGCAACCCAGGATCCTAAGATCTGTCTCAGTTTCGATGTCAAGGCTATCAGCTTGTGAAGGTGTCTCCTTGAATACTGATTCCGGTAGAAGACAATTGTAGAGCGTCAAAACTATCTTCCCATACGTCTTCTGAAGCTTTGCAGGTGGTGTATTGTGCTGTGAATTGTTAGACTTCGGTTGGTTTTGTACGGTCGTCGTGGTCATTTTGTTTTCTCTTTAAACTAGTCTTTGTAATAAAAAAACACGGTAACACGTTTACGGAACACGGAACAGGGCTTAACGAAAGCCCGGTGCACTTGCTTTCTTTTCCAATTTCATTTCAAAACGGAGGTTTAATGGTAATTTAAGTAAAGCATTCTGTTTTTACACCCACTATTCGATGAAAACATGCTCCAAACTGACAGGTATCGAAACAAGATGGCGTCATAGCGACTGACCGACAATATGTCAAAATAAGAGTTTTGTAAACAATTAATTTTTCGATTAACTCCCTAACTTCCACGGATTTATTACATTTAAAAACATTAAAACATACCTTGAGCCATTTTCTGACGAGATATAACAACGTGAGATCATAAAATTAAAAATTCTCCATGAAAGAAATTGTAAAAGAGGACACGAAATACGAGTGATTCAGACACGATCAATTTATGTCGCTTTACAGGAACTTTCGTTCAGAAATCAAAATGACAGAAATAGTGGAGAATATTAAAAATCTGTTTGCAACTTGTAATAGGTAAAAAAATATCACAATAAAAAATAAAAAAGATCTGATTTGTCCTGAAAAAGGTAAATATTAATTAGTTAGGTTTATTAATATCATTTCAAATGACATTTAGTGCTCATAAGCACTTTTTCGATATACTTAATGAACATTGTAAAATAACATTGTTTTCTGCGGTTCTCGAGTTATTCTGGTAAGATGGTGACAATAATTTGCAAAACTTTTTGCTATTGTGACATTCTTATCGTACTCGTTTTAAAATCATTATATGAGTACCTCTCTGAAGTTGTTCTTATTTTAATGAATGGGCAAATACAGCACCAATGAAAGGATTCTACTTCGGCGGCAATTCAAACTGCTAATCGATAATACGACCCATTCCCAACATATTAAAAACGCGTAGTTCTGATTTGATCTAAAAGGATGAGCTACTAGTTTTGAATTGTTTTAAAATGAAAGTAGTGAAAATTAAGAAACTGTTAATTGAAAACATGATTAATTTAGCTTTTACTTACATCCAGGATCTGTACATTTTTGTACAAACGAATCCAAAAAATCTTGTCCTTCACCACCTTCAAAACAACACTTTACAAAAGACATTTTCAATCAGAACTCAACCACAAAACTTTAACGAGAGCAATTTTTTAATTTAATTAATACACTTTATCAGGTAGGCTCTGAAAACATTGCTAAGATAATAGAAATATACATAACATGGTTTTATAATTAGCATTATTTATCCAAAAACTTTTTAAAATGTAAGTATTTACTGATTTAGACGTTATTGTATAAGTATTTAGGTCAACAAATCACTAGTCGGAAGCAAGTCGGTGCTTTTTTTTCATCTGTGAAATGTCAATGGATTATCCATGTGTAATCCAACAAATTTCGGAAGTTCACAATTTGAGTCTTCATTTTGGCATTGGTATGTGCCTTTTAAAATTAGAAGGTATATGCGCAAAGTCGTCCGCTCAGTAACACTATTCGACTACAGATGGCGCTAAGTTTAGTTTAATTGCGATGCGCTAGATGTCTCTACTACTATGTGGTGTAGTTTCTGTAGCAGTGGTTTATTGTAATAATTTTTGCTTTGAATCATCATAAATATTATGACTGCATGAAATGTTATATTTCTATGATATTCCAGTTCGTAATAGTCGCGTTAACACAATTCAGCCTTTCGCCCCATTATCATTTTCGGCCAGTCCATACCTTGGGCCTGGAAGTCAAATATACCTATAGGTGTCACCGTCGACATAGGGATGACATTTAGCCATTCAGCATATTTCAGAGAATAGGAGCCGTAAGAATTAAGATTGCCACGGTAGTCCTCGCACAGGGTAGACAATGAGAAGACACGCAGGTAATAAAAGCTCAATTATCACGCACCACGGACTTACACGGAAGTTGTGGCAAAAACATCTGCAAGCACAAAATGTTCATCGAGCTTGCCACTAAATCTGTCATAAACATGAACATATTCGAAGCTTCATTAAATCAACTATTTTATGTAGGTACATGTTATCTACAAATAATATTTATATTTAAAGTAGTTATATTTAAAGTAGTTTTAGGCAGCGGCTTGGCTCTGCCCCTGGCATTGCTGAAGTCCATGGGTGACGGTAACCACTCACCATCAGGTGGCCGTATGCTCGTCTGCCTACAAGGGCAATAAAAAAATAAAAGTTAGCCTAACATATTTGTTTGTGCTGCTCTTAATATAAAATCATAGATTCGGGCATGGAAAAACTGATCAAATTTATATATTTAGATTTTTTTCTTTAAGTTTTGGTCATTTTTGTATAAACTGTGACATTAGCAAAATCAATTACTAACGCGTTGGAGCCATTTATTAAAAAAAAAACCTAATAGGGACGCGTTCGTTGTGTAGAGATTGCACTCCCAGAAAATGTGGTGGATTGTCTGTTCGTATTGATTTCCTTTGCTGTCAAATTATTGACAGCAAAAAAATTCCCTCATTTTGCAAAAAAAATTGTACCATTGTAAAAAATATGAAAACTACAAAAAAATTCCCTCTTTTTGAAAAAAAAAGTATCATTATAAAAAATACGAAAGTTGTTAGATTGTATTTTTAAGAAGATGTTCTAACTGAATCAACGTATGAACTTGGTTCATTCCATAATAAATGTTATCTTCAAATCTAAGNTGACAGCAAAAAAATTCCCTCATTTTGCAAAAAAAATTGTACCATTGTAAAAAATATGAAAACTACAAAAAAATTCCCTCTTTTTGAAAAAAAAAGTATCATTATAAAAAATACGAAAGTTGTTAGATTGTATTTTTAAGAAGATGTTCTAACTGAATCAACGTATGAACTTGGTTCATTCCATAATAAATGTTATCTTCAAATCTAAGACATAAATTCGTTTTGATCGTTGTTATAAATTAAAATGCGAACTGTGAGAAATAATGAAAATATTTTTAAAATACAATGTATTCTGTTAACATTATATCTAGAAGTCATTTTCCGACTAGTTGAACCGGAATAATAATGAAGAAAATAATTAGATCTGGTTTTTAATTGAACGCGTGGTCTCTGAATCACTGTTCTTCTGAGTGCCCCTAACAACAATAAACACTTGACATCAGACACAATGAGATCGGTTTTGCGGTTACGTTGAGGCCGATGAGGGTTCCCGGAGCCCGTCCACGCTGAGACGACGTGATTATAGTTTATTTTTTTGTTTTTTTATTGATTAGATGCGTGGACGAGCTCACAGCCCACCTGGTGTTAAGTGGTTACTAGAGCTCATAGAAATCTATGACGTAAATGCGCCACCCACCTTGAGATATCAGTTCTAAGGTCTCAAGTATAGTTACAACGGCTGCTCCGCCCTTCAAACCAAAGCGCATTACTGCTTCACGGCAGAAATAGGTGGGTGGTGGTACCTACCCACGCTGACTCACAAGAGGTCCTACCACCAGTAAGCTGGCTTTCTTTAGCCAAGAGGTTGCACTCTTCGCTGCAGAAATGTACATGAAGCTGGTACTGACCGGAGCAGACTGACAGCATTCCCGTAGCGTCTGTTGTTCCTCTGATGCAAATTGGTGTTGACGAACGCAGCGAACACTCCTCATGCTCGGAGGAATGTGGACCATGCTGACTCGCTCCGGTGTTATTAAGAGTAAATATAGTTGAAGTCCATAGACACGGTCATAACCAGAAACATTATTACGGTTCAGTCGAAATTTCCACCAAGTATTTTACTGTTATTTTCATGTGCCGATTTGTGAGTCTATAGTGAAGACTGCTGTTTACAATGTTCATATTTAATTCGTTTTTATTTGGTAACATAAATTTCATAAATAATTACGATATCTCTCTAAAGTTGTGCATCAGGTGTACGAAACATTGGAGATCTACGAATTAAGCATATGGTTCGGACATTCGTCTCTAAGTTCCGCGAAAACATCAGCAAAAATACTACAGGCTTATAACATGGTCAGAAAATGTTCTCGAGCAAGTTGACGTAAGCAGATCCTGCAGTGCCGCCAAAATAGGTGATATGACGAATTGAGGAGTCGTTTTCCTTGTCCAGCGTCACGGAGCTGACGGGGCTCACGGAGACGCACGCGGCTCATGCGGCTCTCACTCGGCGCCAGTCGCCCTCGAGCCGCCGCGAGGTTGTTACCTATCGCTCTCGCGCACAGACCTGTGCAGTATCCACCTGTGCAGTGCTACAAACGTTATGTGCTGTGTATTATGTGTATTTGTGTATAATTTTTATGTGTATTTTGTGTAGTTTACGTAGTACGGATGTTTTTCGGTGAGTTGTGTTTTTTTAAAGGTTTTATTTGCTATTTTAATTTTATTGCGACTTTTTTCTTCGTTATTATTTAGGTATATTTTATGATAATTGTAACTAAAAACAACTTTTCGAACGAAATAAAAATATGATTACCATAACTGGAAATCTTGTGAAGTTTTAAGGGAACACCAAACTATACGTTGCCTCATAAGCCCCGTGAAAGAAATATCTTCAAATGCAGTTTGAGTAGTGTCTGGCGATAGACCGCAGTTTGACTTTACCACCGGCATGGGTGATGAGCCACGCTGACTACTTATCGTCAGCTGGCCCGGGCGTATAATAATAAAACGCACCTTTGTTAGGCTGCAGACACAGGTAGGACGATACATCATTGTATCAGGGTCACAGAAACACCTGTCACCACGTATTATCTACTCTATAAATTCTGCGGGTCTCATTTAATAACACGACATTGTTTATTCAACAAGGAAGTTGTTAGCGTGGACACGATAAATAAATAATTATTAAGAAAATGCCCACTCCAGGATCGAACTGTGACACAACACACTGGGCCTCTTGGATCTAAAACTAGGGATACAAAAATTAAGTAAAATTAGTTAAATTAGTAGACTTAAAAACATTACGGCTCGAACTGGACCCGTGTACGGACGGAGCGGACATTTGAATGGCGGTTACAAATAAAATTTCTAATCCATTTCTCTAGAGTACGTCTGACAATGGCGAAATCTTATCGGCACAAACGGATTCAGAGCTAAAGTCCTGATCACAATCGGGAACATTACGTGGGCCCACCAAACCGCGTCATTTGTTTTGTACTACTCTGTGCCTTCCTGGATGCTTGGGAGAGAAAATGAATCTATTAATATTTAACAAAACTAATAACGTTCAAAATGACACGATTTTATATTTATTGCTTCACGTACATAGATAAAATAACGAATGTATTTTAAAATATAGCTACTATTAACATTAGTCGTATATATCGACACGTCTTTACTTTTATGAAACCCTGGTATTTTTTGATTTAATGTTAATATCAATTACTTTTATAATAATAACCTTAATTTGAGGTGTTGTTTCTGTTTCAAATCATTATTGCAGTTGAATTAGACTTATCATATTATCATTTCTTGAATTTTTTTTTCTATCCACGTTTGTATGTGGCTCTGAAGCTATAGCTCGTCTTGAAAATGCTTAAAACCTAGTCTATTCATGTAGTAACAGTTATTAGATACCCTAATAGTATAACATTCCCTTATCCATTTAAAAGATCAATATTATTATCTCCATCTTGGAACGCGCTTTCAAATTCCGAATACCTACTCGTAGAGTCATTATACAACCTCACCCTTTTTCTGGAGGTTGATAAAGCATACCGGACTTTTGATTTTTGAAAAGATTAATTTGTATTTTTGTATTATGAATGCTCTAAGCGAAAAATAATAAAATGTAATCTCTCGTTACATACCCCTGTACCCACTTGATTTTTTGTAATAACTCAAACCTCGACCTTTACCAAATAAATTAGTATCTAATCAATGTACAACGTGATGTAACATTTGTAATATTCATGAAGTAACGATAGAAATACACTCCAAAGAATTTTCATATGGTTATGAAAAGAATAAAGTATATAGTTATTATGCTATAATGTAAGTACCTCTTACACATCCTATTACCCTGGTACTTTTAATACAAAACAGGTTTTAAATAAAACTGTTAATTCACTGCGAATTCTTCTGCTCGTAATTTGATTTGTGATTTATTAAAATTTAAAGTATACTTCGCGATGTAGCATTTTATTAGCTCATAATATTTTATTTTTCTTGGAACCATTAATCTAAGTTTATGTTTTCTTGGTAATTTGATGTGATTTGATATTTTTATATTGTAACAAACATCCTTAGGATAGATACTATTATTACTGAAATAAATAAACGATATGTTATTCCTCAAATGGGTGAACGTGCTCACGATCCACATAGTGTTAAGCGGTCCTCGCGGCCTATAGATATCACAGAGTAAATGCAGCCTCACACCTAGAAAGATCGTCGAATTCTCAATTCTACTGCATAACAGTGGTCCTACCCTTCAAACCGGAAAGATCCATTCCTATCCTTTCTTTATGTGTTTGGATGGGTGGACGAGCTCACAGTCCACCTGGTGTTAAGTGGTTACTGGAGCCCATAGACATCTACGACGTAAATGCGCCACCCACCTTGAGATGTAAGTTCTACGGTCTCAGTATTGTCACAACGGCTGCCCCACCCTTCAAACCGAAACGCATTACTGCTTCACGGCAGAAATAGGCGGGTGGTGGTACCTATCCGCGCGGACTCACAAGAGGTCCTACCACCAGTAAAATGCGGTTAAAATTAGCACTTAGGCACGATAAATTTACCACCAGTGAATGCCGGATGACGATCGCAATAAGTTATTAAAATAGACAATATTTTGTCCTTGCTGGTATGTGAATTGGAGAGATGTTACGACTATAGACCGTCAACTGTGAGACACACGTCAGTGTACCTTCAACTCAATATTATTAATTGGAGAATCTGCCATACAGATAGCAGCCGTGTAACTACTAACTGGTTAATTATGTTTTTACCAAATAAAGGAATATTGCATAGAATGATAAATATATCTTTTTCTAAAACGCCCGTACTTCTCTACATTCCTAAAATGATTATTGTCAAATACTTTGATGGGAAAAAGCCACGGTAATTCAGTACGAACACTATTTTTAAATTACCGTTCAAAATCCTTTATAGGTATTAGTAGTCACACAAGTCTTCTGTTATTATGAAAAATGTCAAGTATTTTTAAGACACTGAAGTTATATAATGAAAAGTAGCCATCGACAACAAAGCCTGTTAAACAAGTGCTGCTCAGTGTTATAAAGGTCTAGAATTATTATAATCCATTAAAAATTTTGTCGATTAGCAAATCGACAATCTTACATAATAGACTATCTCTCTATCGCATTACTTATATTCTCCTTTTTCATACCAAAAAGATTGCGATCCTGACTTATCCTGAGCTTGTTTACTTTGAACACAGATCTGGTACTCACACTAAAACACTTTCTTCAGTCTTTTCTTTATCATCCTAAGAATGTTAATATTTTAACATTTTTTTTGCTACTTATTCGCTGGTAGATGATCACAGAGAATTTGCTAACACTAGCCCTAGCAAAAGCAGTGTTTCGTGGAATCTACCATCAGATCGGAATCGCGACCCATTGAGATGATCTGACGAGAAATTCAGTAGGCTGTGTCTATGGGTAGCTAGCATACATTGAATAACATTTTAACTCCAAACATGAATGAACTCCCCTCCACGATGTTTTCCGAGCGCTATGACATGTCCTTCTTCAAACGAGGCTTGCGAAGAGTACTTTATGGTAGGCAGCGGCTTGGCTCTGCCCCTGGCATTGCTGACGTCCATGAGCGACGGTGACCACTTACCATCAGGTGGGCCGAGCATACGGATGCTCGTCTGCCTACAATGGCAAAAAAAAAACACTACATACATTACCTACTTTGTGATCACGGACAAATCACAGAACAATAAGAACAACAAAAATGCAATATCTATTTTGAATTTTCTGCACAACCTCTTAAAAGATAATAAGAGAGGAATGAATAATAGCGATAAGGTTAGCATTAAATAAAGCACGGTAAGTGTTATTTCTGATGATTGGGCGATGACGTCACTAGGAGCCATCGTGGCTTCCACAGCTTCCAGCCCACGTTACGCCCGCGCCGCGCTCCGTCGCCCGGCCCCGTCGGTACTGACAGCGGGATGCGGAAGCGATCGTCTTATGACCGTGTAGCGATTTAACTGCAACGCCTGTATTTATTTAAGAACCCTAAAAAATCAACTGAATATTTTATCGGGTAACGATACTCAAGAGTTGATTATATTTATAAATAATAAAATTCAAAACGTAACATTTTATTTAATACAGTGAGAACGAATAATTCTTAAGGTACAGCTGCGTTTCGGTTTGAAGGACGGGGCAGACGTTGTACTGTAAAAACTGAGACATAAGAACTCGTATCTCAAGGCAGGTGGTGGTATTTACGTTGTAGATGTCTATGGACTCCAGTAACCACGTAACATGAGGAGGGCCGTGAGCTCATCCACCCACTTAAGCAATAAAAAACACGTGTGGCAATCCGGGACTGCCGCGGTAAAGCTATTGCATAACATTTTTTATCAACTTAGGCAATTATAATTAGACAATAATAATGTAATATTAAAACAATAATAAAAGAAGACCACCCTATATTATAAATATTAACAAAAGCAAAACATTAACTGTCCCTTTTTTATGATTGAAAGACCACTGGAGGCCCGGAGACCTTTCCAGTGTCACCAGGACAGGTGGGCGAGCAAAGGCTCAGCCAGGAGGGGTGGGATTTGCTAACAACTGCTCGAGCGCCTCCGAAGGAGACCTAACAACTCAAGAGCAATTGCTTCGCGAATGAATCTACTACCGGATCGGAATCGCGACCCGCTGAGAAGATCCGGTGAGAAACTCAGCGAGCTGATACATGGGTTAGGTTGCACGTCGATCTCTTTGTCGAGTTCGACGAGTACGGCTACCGGAGTCCCTAAGCCTGCTCCTAGTGTTAGAGCTGAAGGCGTGTAATACAAAGGTTATTAGATCTGATGGATCCGTAAGGACGTGTCTAGGGCGTCGACGGTGACTGGCTCCTGCATGATCAGGATTCGGGGAGTAGTCAGCGGTGGCAACGATAAGGCGATTATCATGACGGTAACTGTCCCCTTCACAGTCATAAACTAGACCGCGCGAGAGAGAGATGGACAGACTTGTCATGATGCGCATGCAGTGCGACTTCACGCCGCGCGCTTATTCACAAACACTACACAAGCGCAACATGTGAATGTGTTGAACGCAAGCTACATGGTAGGCGGGGTGGGGGTGTTATGTTTTATTTTCGTTACGGAATTTCTTGATTCGGTCG